TTTGCTCCAAACCAAATGCCATGATTGGATCCGTTGCAGACGTGGGCGGGTCCCGCGTAGGATATCGTTGTTCTACGGTTGATGGAAGTTGATTTCTCCCGCCATTTTAATTTCCCATCCCATTGCTACAAAAACAATAAATGTGGGCAACCATACCATATTATTATAATTTTATTTATAATCTCAATGGTTGCTGAAAAATATATATTTCACACTTCTGACCCATGTTATATATTTTTATTTTGGACGAAAGAAGTGTATTAATTTGGTTTATCGATATTGTTTGTATTAGTTATACACCAGTCCTTTTAATTTTAATTGCATTGCTTAAGTGAGCCGCACATATTGTTCGGTTTATGATACATAAAAAAAAACGTTCCAGAAACTGTGTCGGTAAAAATAAAAATGCGAAAGTCAATTTCATTTTTTTCTAGAATACGTTTTTTTTTTAAATACGTACTCGCCTTAAACCTATTGAGATTACAATATTTTAACGAATATGTGACGAAGAGGTACAATTCCAAATAACACTGAAATACATGTAAAAGAAATGCATACATACTATAGAACAATTAACAAATATCAATATTTCACTGTGTATCAAATAGGCCTGCAGCCAGCGACCTAAATTGGTTGAAGTTGTTTGGTTTTGCAGGAGATGGAGAACAGCAGGTGCAGGGAGCAGTTATTGAAAATTGTTCAGAAAATCTTTGACAATGATTGGTGTAGTTATTTGATTTGCCCTCTCGATCTCCTTCTCTTCTCTTCTTTTCTCTTCTTTGCCTGCATGCGTCTGATCAGGTCTGCCAATTCAGTTCAGTTCAGTTCAGTGTATGTATTCAACAAATTAGGGTTTCTGCATGCGGCGCTGCTCCCATTCTCTGATCATATACCCATATCCTCATCACTCTCCTGAGTCCTGATCGAATAATGCATTCTTGTGTATTTAACTATTTCTGTTGTTTCTTTCTAATCTACTTTTAATGAAGATCTTTGTTTTATTGCTGTAGATTGACTTATGATCTCTATGCAGCGGCGGATCCAGAACACAGAAAAGCACTGGGCCGCATTTCATTAGAAAATTAGAACCGTAAAAAAATATTATAGTTTTTTTTACAATATAAATTATACACGACGGTATTTTAATTTAGCGAATACATCAATAATGGAGTCCACATTCATACAAATAGTATACACTGTTTTAAATAAAATACTTGAGTAATCGGCGAGAAATTCATCGCTCGTTTTGTTGCACAAATCAGTTTTCATATGTTTCATTGTTGAAAAGGTTTTCCACTAGCTGCTTTAGTAAATTTTTAGGGAACAAAACTCATATTTCTTATACTCTTTTGTTTTAGACTTCAGAATTTTAGATTTCATTGTTTTTTTAGAAGAATAATCTTTGGAGCTAGAATTTCTAGACTAAATTTATAGTAGTGATTTGAATATGTTAATTTGAATCACTTTTCTAGTTACACCCAATCTTATTATAAAATAACACTGGACAGAATAACTAAAATCGAAAAATTCATAAAGACTATACTAACTCCGGATTAGGGATGGCAATTTTGCCCATACCCATGAGTATTTTACTATCCAACCCAATTGAGTTGGGTATGAAATCCAAATATATGGATATGGGTAAAGTTTGATGGATTTGTACCCATACCCATTTACTTTGGGTTGGGTTGGGTTTATAACAAATGGATTTGGGTTTGTATCCATGCCCAAATACAAATTACAGTTTGGTACCTAAACTTAATAGATATGCATATTTAGTACCTAAATTTAATTTTTTTTGCATATAAGTCCTCAAAATATCGATGGAAAATTATGTTTTGGTACCTAAATTTTTTTGGTCTTACATTTTGGTACCTAAACTTTTCAAGTTTTATACAAATATGTCCAATTTTTGCATGTGTAGTTAAAACACCCTCAAGTAAATGGATATTCATATCCAACCCATACCCATTTAGATAATATCCATATCTAACCCAAACCCATATACAAACCCCAAACCCATACACACATCACCCAAACCCTACCCATAATAAATGGGTCTACTTGGGTTTGGGCAAAATTACCCATGGGTGGGTAAATTGCCATCCCTACTCCGGATCCAGAGGAGGGCTGGGCCGGGGCCCGGGGTGGCCACCCCCTGTATCCGCCAGTGTCTCTATGCTATCTTCTGTCTTTGCTTAACGGTGGATTGTAAAACAGTATCGGAGGTTGTATTGGGTAAGTCAATGGTAGTGTATATTTTTTAGATTAAATGGGGTTAATCATTTCATAGAGGTAAAATCATATTCCATACTGAACTATGATAGCTGATTTTTCATGTTGGACAAACGATACGGGTATGGTTTAGCAAATACCGGTTAAAACTATGTATGTAGCTCTCAAGGAGTAAATTTCTTTAAACAATATAAGCAAAGAAAAATAGTGATAGATGGACACGATTTACAAGATGTTTAGCAATTATAAACGGTAGTATGCTATCACTGAAGGAATTCGTTACGCCACTAAATGCACAACTCTAGTAAATTTCTGAGGAACGCAATGAATGTGTTCCAAATATGTTTTAGAAGTCCAACATATACATATTTCAAATGTAGAAATGGATTTAACATTTTAAATTGAGAAGATTTTTTTTATATCGTTCATTTGGTTCTAAATAATTCGCACATATGCATTAATCAACTTTGGCTACTGATTAAGAGTATGATTTTTTTTATTTTTTTTTTGTGTTCATTACTTTGACCGTCGACCAATGGTAGTCACCATTGAGATTCACTTTTAGCTGCAATTATTAAATAAAAACAAGCTCCAAGATCAATGGAAACGGTGTTCTTACTCCTCCAAGTACGTAGAAAGAACCCAACCGTCCATAAACTATAAAATGGTTCGTTAGTGGAATGTAAGACTTTGTCACCTTTTCTTAATTCACTAAATTAAGTCAATTGGTTTTTAATTAGAAAAGATAATCAAGCATTACTTTACCAAAACTTATTATAAAAATTGTCGATAACGAAATTCGGAGTTTAATAATTTATAAAAAAAATCGATGCTTAATTGTAGCTACAGATAGATTGGTAAGAACCAAACAATTGACAAGAAAATTACTTTCTGTAAACTATGTAGTCGTTTGCTTGTAATATATATTTACCCCGCTCCAAATTCTACACATGTGACATTCCTCTCAATTCAACATTTGTATCGAGTATCTAATAATTTCTCGAAATCATAATCAAATCTGACCAACAAACAACAAGCTTTTTAAACCCGACACAACTCTACTATAGCTCGAATCCAACACAAAAGTCCTACATATATTTCGAATTCAAGGTTTTATCCAGAAATCCTTTGTTTTCTGAATTCCACGGGCTACAACTAAACCACCCCTAAATCAAAACGGTGGTTTTGGGAATCTAAAAGTCAAACAAGATGCAATGATATATATATGTGTTCCTTAAGCTAACATTATAATAGAACTAACCTGATTTATACATAAGAATACTTGTATTTTATGAAACTCATACCAAAATTCAAGTACATCTGAGATGGGGAAACGAGGACGAAAAGTGGCCATCCCAACTTCAACTTGCCGGTTTAAAGATTACAATAATAACATCAAACATTATATAAATAATAAGCACTATGTTTAATTCAAACTTTTTATTTTTATGAGAGTCCCACATGGAGTTCCCATCTTATACGGTCTTCCCAGAATTTAAAAAAATAATAATCATCATGCAATGCAACAATAACATAACGTGGTATGAAAATATTCATCACACTCTGAGTTTAAACATCGAGGTCAATAATCTAAAAAATAAATCATAGTACAATTTGCATTTATATGTCGTGAAACCTTTGGAAAGTGTCATGATCAGAATTATTAACTCACAAATTTCGTAAATCTAAACTTCAACAACGAATATGAATGCAACGGAGAGATCAATCAATAGAGAAAAGAAAAATGCTTAGAATTTAGATCTTGCTAATTACTCAACTTGGCAAGCAAGTGCGACTCCTCTGCTAATGTTTATATTTTAAGAAACTATTATTTGACAGTTGAGGAGGCAGTTATAGTTGCATATAAAATAAAATGCCAAATTGTCCATCTATTCTAAAATAGTAAGTATTATTGTAGGGGAAGAAATTGATTTGTATATAACTGGCAGCATATATGTATTATTATGATCTTACAGCTCAATAAATAATAGTAAAATGCTATTAGACAATAATTCAAACATGGTTTTTCTCCACTAGTTTTGATTTTCGTCCTCATAGAGGGTGATTTATTATGTTAATCCTATTTATTTTGTATCGTATTCGTCCAAGTACAACTAAATATATATAATGATATGATTTATAGAAATACAATATATTCCATCAGAGAGTACACCAACCTTTAATTTATCAGATACTTTAAAAGTACTCCTTATTTATATATAGAGCTCTACGGTATGAGACTAATTAAATATGAAGGTACCACATATTTTTAGTTAAAAAATGATTTATAAATTTTGAATTAATCTAATTTTAAACATAGTATTATACCTCGAATCTTAATTATGAGTAAAACTTAGATCCTAATTCTCTAGATGCATCATATAATTAGGACCTATAATTTACGGCCTTAAGAATTAGGGTTAGTACTATGCCCAAAATCATATTAAACACAAAGTCCAAATTAGCATATATCTTTTTTAATAACAGTATATATATGACAACGCAGATCTACATATATATACTATTTGTTTCCGCTCCAACAATCAATGCTTCATTTAATTGGTTTTCAATCATTAGTGCTACAATAATAAAACAATAATTGGTTTTCAAATCTCTATATGTGTGCAAATTAAACAAGAAAAATATAGCAAATAAAAGAGAAAAAAAAAATTTAAATAGTGTCCATATAAACGAAGCATCTTCATCATCAACCTCCTCATATCTCCTTTCCCCCTGTCCTATATTCTTCGTCAATAATAATAGCCATGGATTCCAGTCATAGCCATAATAATAATACTAAGAAACCAAGCAGCAAGATCAGCGACATCGTCAGCCTCCAACGCATCCTCAAGAAGTGGAAACGCATCGCCACCACCACCACCACCGCTCCCTCCACCCCCACCGCCGCCGCCGCCACCACCAGCAAGAGCATGAAGTTCATCAGACGAACATTCTCATTCAACGACGTCGCGTCAGCAGCCACATCCTCCTCATCAAACGGCGCCGTCCCCAAGGGCTCCGTCGCCGTCTGCGTGGGGAAAGAGCTGAAGCGGTACGTGGTCCCCACCGAGCACCTGGGCCACCACGCGTTCCGCGTTTTGCTCCGCCAGGCCGAGGAGGAGTTCGGGTTCCAGCAGGAAGGCGTGCTCCGCATCCCGTGCGACGTCGCATCGTTCGAGGCCATCCTCAAGGTCGTCCGGGGCAAAACGACGCCGTACTCGTCGTCGGACCACCACGTGTACGACAATGACATGATGATGATGATGTCGGACGGGGAGGAGGACTACGAGGAGCAGTACTGCCACCAGTTCGGGTTCCCAGCGTCGCCGGCCACCGGGAGCGGAGGGTGCTGCTCGCCGTCGTCGTCGTCGGCGGATTCGGATCAGTACCACGGCCACCAGCAGCAGCATCATCACCACCCGCAAATGTGCAGATGATGATTAATGATTGAATGTTCGTAAATATAGAACTATGTGACAGTGGACTACGGGTAGAGTAATTTACTAGTTTTGTTGGGTTCGTCGGCAAGAATATTAAACTTGAGTTTTTTTTTTTTTTTTTGGTTCATCGACATTTTTTTTACTGCTGTAATTTTACCTCTCTGTTTTTCTACCAAGTGGAATTACTGAGATTAATTCATTATTGACAATATGGTGCACTTCGTTCTAAGGATTGTGAAATTGTTATGACTAGAAAAAGTCTGTGGGGAGATATTTAGTACTAAAATCCTAGTTTTACCACCCAATCAAGTCGGAGTGTGATACATGATATATTTGGTTTGAACGAGGACACAGTAGGATACGATTTCTAAGTCATTGCTTGGTTCATTTGAATACACTTTCAATTTTGCACGACCCTTGGTCGTTAAGTTAGTTGACACTGTGGATTCAGAATTGATCTGTATATATATACATTAACTGCTGTTGGAATAAGCCATTTCTCAACTTCCACAAGAAGTAATTAAGCCCCATTTTGCAATGCATACAGCTACGTACTCAAAGTAGATCACAATAATATTTTAATTTCCTTCCTATTAATTAGCTACAGATTCGGATACGTATACGTGTAATCGTTTCGATGTTAGTACAGTACTACAGTACTCGATAAGCTTTTCGTTGGTTGGTTGGTTGGTTGTTCCAAACATCATCAATCACGAATTTGTTGTAAATGACTAAGTTGAAATGGTTTAAGTCACTGTTTGTGTGAGCAAAAAGTACTTTAGTGGTTGTTTAAGTATGTAGTTGACCGACCATAAGAAGGCGTTGCTTCGGATCTAGTTTTCAAGAGGCAAAGATGGTTTATGTCACATGAGTTCGTTTGACCAAAAGTAAAACTACATTTCTTCCCATGTTATGTTAACATGTATAGTATACTAAATAGTTCAGGTAAACTACATTTCTTCATCCGAAGGAAATTGTGGCTTATTTATTAGAGGTTAGAGACTTAGAGTAGTATTATATTCAAATTAATTTAGGTTAATACAAGGCTTAGATAGAGCTACCTAGCTGGTCAGGAGTATCGGAGTTTCGCATGCCACATGAGTACGCTGGTCACACCCATGTATATTTATAAAATCAATTTAATAATTAGAGACAATATTGATCAACTATTTTGATTCGTGAAAATTCATCCAATTAACTGGATGCAACATATTTGTGTGACTCCAAAAAGTTGATCGAGTGGTAATAATATTTGTGTGACTCCAACATATATTGGGCTACATCAACTTGGTCAATTAAAAATCTAACTGTAATAACTAAATTAGTACCCTCCTGTCCCATATGCATGTCAGTGAAGCAAAAGATTTCTGACTTTGTTTTCTGTTGTTTTGTTGCACTACCAATTAATATATGTTTTTCATGTATAATTATTGGTGGTTTCTCTGGCATTATATCAGTAGAAATAACTACTCCAACTTGTCCTGATCGCAGCAGGAGTTGATGGATCGATCTCCTGCTGCATGGTAGCTAGCTAGCTGCTCGCTGATTCCTGGTCAGTGCAATTTGGATTGTGCAGTTGAAACCCATGTGCATGCAAATGCAAGCTTCTAGCTGTTTCTCAGTGTCAACTGCTTCTGCCTCTCATGCCCACCAAAAATATACGTATAAAGTATAAACTACATCTGATCTTGTGCATCGATCGCAGAGATTTGCTAATCTGATGTGCGACGATGATCGATAATCCGTATAATTCACCACCACCAGCAGTTTCTCGAACCAAGTAGGGCACAACACAATATTATATATGTATATAGATCGTGACTCTTTACTGGCTAGCTAGCTAGCTCAAATACTTCTAATCATTTGCTAGCTATCAACCAACGTAACTACTCTTTCGTAGTTAAGCTTCAAACGTGTAATAATTAGGGTTATCGGTTCCCGAAAACCGATAAGTCTTTCAACGGTTTCGTTTCGGTATGGGAAAAACGAGAAAAACTTATAAGTCTCTTAATGGTTTGGCGGGACAATAGATTTGATATATGTTTCGTATCGGTTCTTAAAGGTTATAAGTTTCTTAGCTGAAACCATAATCATTTACATTATATATCAATTTGTAACTATTAAGGGAAACCAATAAGAGCGCGTAAACGACTCAGTTTCGATTAAACAAAAAATTCGAAATCGAATCTGCAGCCCTAGTAACAGTTATCTAAGTTAGAAATATTGATCAATTTTTGTATACCTTGAACTCCCCGATGTGCATGGTATCATGTCCAGCATGTAACACCTTAGGCAAAACCCACATTGACAAAGCACGGGAGAGATCTGTGGTTTATAAGTAAGAAACCGACCTTAACTGACAAAATGCGTTTTGGGGTGAAATGGAGGAGTTCTTGTGAGAACTCCGAAGTTAAATGTGCTCAGTGTAGAGTACAACAAGGATGGGTGACCTTATGAGAAGTCACCTTGAATTGCACCCCAAAGCAAAAACCGTGAGGGGCGAGGCCCAAAACTGACAATATCTTAGGCAAATACCACATTGACAAAGCACGGGAGAGATCCATGGTTAATAAGTAAGAAACCGATGTCCTAACTGACAAGACGTGTTTTGGGGTGAAATGGAGGAGTTCTTGTGAGAACTCCGAAGTTAAATGTGCTCAGTGTGGAGTACAACAAGGAGAGGTGACCTTATGGGAAGTCACCTTGAATTGCACCCTAAGGCAAAAATCGTGAGGGGCGATGCCCAAAGCAGACAATATCTTCGCCGGGAAAAAGGTTCGGGATGTTACACAATATGTTCGTTGAAGATTTTTGGATAATAATTGAAACCATTTCATGCGAGACTCATTCATCACATCTTATGTTCAAATCTTGAGACCAACGATAATCTTGTGAGGTACGAGATAATACATATTCCATTTAGAACAAAACAGGACATTGATGTTGCGTTTAAAACAAGCATATCAATGTCCGGTGTCGAAAAAAAAATGGTATATGATGTTACATTGGTCAAGCCATCGATGGTATGGCTACATATGTATATTGTAGCTTTGGAGATGAGATGTTAACTAAAAAAACACGCCACCACCACCATCCCCCATTCAAATAAAAATCAACGACACACATTCATCAATTGATTAATGATTCCAAACCTTAGAGCTTGATCTTCTCCTCCTTTTCCCCTTGGCAATCATCTTGTGCATTCTCAAACACCTCATCAATATCTCTTTAAACTCTTCCTCCTCGCACGGGAAATGAAGCCCTCCAACGGTCTCGAACCCGACTTCCTCCGCCACCTTATCCATCAACACCACAAACTCGGGCATCGACAAACAAGTCATGGGGATCACGAACCTTCTTTGATCTGGGCCCACGTATACTGCTATGAATCCTTTCGGGACCAACGATGACGAAGATCGTCCACCTGCTTCGCCGTCTGACAATCGTGAACCCCTGGCTAACAGAGACTCGTTAGCCTGGTGATTCCCGATTGTGTTGGACCCGGCCACGGCCCTGCAATGTTGGGGTGCCATGCACAACCATAACCGCAGAAAATCCTTTGGCTTCAAGTGATGAAACCCGTCTTGCATTGCTTTGGTTCCCATCATCATGATCTACACACACCCTCGATCGACTAATTCTTCTTGCAAATAAGAATTCAATTGATGGGAATCTGCTCGAAAATTAATAACTTGAAATGAAATCAAACAAAAAGACACTGTTATAGATTGAAAAAACTCTTTTTTTTTCCTCTAAAAATTTATCTGCATCATACAAATGAGTATTGTAACTTTTATTCGAAAATTGACACAAGATCATTCGAAAAGATCGAAAATGGGGTGATCTTTTGATCGGAGATTGTAAAATGAAAAAGAGGGTATTGGGAGTTCTCCAGCCCCCTCCTCCTCTCCACAGAAGCTGTAGAGAGGAAGAAACCCTAATTTTGTGTCACCCTTTGCAACATGCTCTTAAGAAATCATCATTCTCCCTATGTATAGCAATCACCAATTCCACCATTCGACTAATGGAGGAAACTATTAAAGGAGAATGTATATATGCCATCCGATTCCAAGTTAAAGGATGTTGGCTACATTGTATATTTAATCTATAGTCTATATGTAGATCGATCAAATTCATGAATTTTGAAAATTTAATTATTTATTTGTTTAAGTTAATTATTGAAACGTATTATACGAGATTTACGTGTTTAGTACACGAGTCATCAAATGAATAGAAAATTATGAAATAATTTTACAATAATAAAATACATGCAATTCATAAAAAAAAAACATGCATTCAACCAAAGCCCAAAGGTAACATAGCCTAGCGGTGAAACCGTTGGTCTGGTTGGCTCAGGATGTGAGAGGTCCTGAGTTCGCTCCCCAGCAGCGCCGTTTGTGTGTTCCCGAAGGCATCCCTGAGTGCCGAGGACGATGTCTCCCGATGTTGTGTCTTGTACATGTGTTCTCCAAGTTTAGTAGATCACGCTGTCACAAAGTGACATGTGGGGTTGAGATTCCTGGGTTATAAAAAAAATACATGCATTCATAAATAGAGAATATTTAGTTTTGAGTTGTTTGAGGATATTAAAAAAAATTCACCCAAAGAACCCCGTTAGCTGCAGCTTCTCATGCAATGTGCGTGAAGTGAAGGAAACGAAAAGCTTGTGGCCTCTAGACAATTAGGAGCCCATTAAAACTAGCAGCCCACCAACGAATGAAGCCAACTAATCCCATATATTAGCCAAGCCTAGATGCGCCGAAGAAGCCCAAGCCCAAATCACGAGGAACCGAACCAGAACATTAACCGACTCCATAGCGGTTCTGAGCTGGTTAATTCCCTTAGTGCTTCTCATCTCCGTATAGATTCCGCAATCGATATTTCTCCCAAACCCTAACTCTGATAAATCTTTCTCGCTTCTCTGTTCCCGTTCTTCTTCTCGCAGTGAGATCTTCACACCAGCTCTGGTAGAAGACCCTAATTCAATCAGTTGTTTTCTCTGAGTTGCTGCAATGGATCCAGAGATAGCCAAGACGCAGGAGGAGCGGAAGAAAATGGAGCAGGAGCTCGCTTCCCTGACTTCTCTCACTTACGACAAGGACCTCTACGGTGGAACGGACAGGGACGCCTATGCCACTTCGATCCCCGTTAACGACGACGACGACAACGATATCGGCGACAATGAAGCCCCTCGCCGGCTTCCTTCCTACACCGCCCCGAAGTCACTTCTCAAGGAGATGCCTCGCGGGGGAGACGACGAGGACGACGGCGGGTTCAAGAAGCCATCGAGGATTATCGACCGCGAGGATGATTACCGACGGAGGAGATTGAACAGGCCGCTTTCTCCGGACAGGCACGATGCTTTTGCTTCGGGGGAGAAGACGCCGGATCCCTCGGTTAGGACCTACGCGGAAGTGATGAGAGAGGAGAAACTGAAGAGGGATAAAGAAGAGACGCTGAAAGAAATTGCTAAGATTAAGAAGATGGGGGAAGAAGCCGCCAAGGAAGGGAAGGCTGCTGAAGTCGTGAAGGAACCAGCAGCTGCCGCTCCTCCGAAGCGGAGGAACAGATGGGACATGTCACAGGATGAAGGTGGTGATGGTGCTGCGGCTAAGAAGGCCAAGACAAGCTCTGACTGGGATTTACCCGACGCCACGCCGGGAATCGGAAGGTGGGATGCTACTCCCACGCCTGGTAGAGTTGGTGACGCGACTCCTTCGGCCGGGAGGAGGAATAGGTGGGATGAAACGCCGACTCCCGGTAGGGTTGCTGATTCTGATGCAACTCCTGGTGGTGGTGTTACTCCTGGTGCGACACCTGCTGGTGTTACTTGGGATGCGACCCCCAAAGGGCTGGCCACACCGACGCCTAAAAGGCAGAGATCACGTTGGGATGAAACGCCTGCAACTATGGGAAGTGCGACCCCTATGGCTGGAGCTACACCTGCTGCTGCCCTTACCCCTGGTGTTACTCCTGTTGGCGGGGTTGACTTGGCCACCCCAACTCCAAGTCTTATTCAACGTGGTGCTATTACCCCGGAGCAGTATAATCTTCTGAGATGGGAGAAGGATATTGAGGAGAGGAATAGACCTTTGACTGATGAGGAACTCGATTCTATGTTTCCGCAGGAAGGGTACAAAATTTTGGAGCCACCAGCATCTTATGTTCCCATTAGGACTCCTGCCAGGAAGTTGCTAGCTACACCCACTCCTATGGGGACTCCTCTTTATTCTATACCTGAAGAGAATAGGGGGCAACAATATGATGTGCCGAAGGAAGTTCCTGGTGGGTTGCCATTTATGAAGCCAGAGGATTATCAGTACTTTGGATCTCTTTTGAATGAAGATGAGGACGAAGAGTTGTCACCTGATGAACAAAAAGAGCGAAAGATTATGAAATTGTTGTTGAAGGTTAAGAATGGAACACCACCACAGCGGAAGACCGCTTTGAGGCAGTTGACAGATAAGGCAAGAGAGTTGGGTGCTGGCCCGCTGTTCAATAGGATTTTGCCTTTGCTTATGCAGCCCACATTGGAGGATCAGGAGAGGCATCTTCTGGTCAAGGTAATTGATAGAGTTTTGTATAAGCTGGATGAGTTGGTTAGGCCTTATGTGCACAAGATTCTTGTTGTCATCGAGCCATTGCTGATTGATGAAGACTATTATGCCCGTGTTGAAGGAAGGGAGATCATTTCTAATTTGAGCAAAGCTGCTGGTTTGGCGACTATGATTGCTGCTATGCGTCCTGATATTGATAACATTGATGAGTATGTTAGGAATACCACTGCCAGGGCTTTCAGTGTTGTGGCTTCTGCACTTGGGATTCCTGCACTCCTGCCGTTTCTGAAGGCTGTTTGTCAGAGTAAGAAGTCCTGGCAAGCTCGTCACACTGGAATCAAAATTGTGCAGCAGATTGCTATTCTGATTGGGTGTGCTGTACTCCCACATTTGAGGTCCTTGGTTGAAATTATAGAGCATGGACTTAATGATGAGAACCAGAAAGTGAGGACCATCACTGCATTGTCTTTGGCCGCTCTTGCTGAGGCTGCTGCTCCATATGGTATTGAAAGTTTTGACTCTGTTCTGAAACCCTTGTGGAAGGGAATCAGGTCCCACCGTGGTAAGGTCTTAGCTGCATTCTTGAAGGCAATCGGTTTCATTATTCCTCTGATGGATGCCATGTATGCATCATACTACACCAAGGAAGTGATGTACATCCTCATTCGCGAGTTTCAGTCTCCAGATGAAGAAATGAAGAAGATTGTTCTGAAAGTGGTGAAGCAATGTGTGAGCACTGAGGGTGTGGAACCGGATTACATCCGCTCTGATATCCTCCCAGAATTCTTCAAGAACTTTTGGGTTAGAAGGATGGCATTGGATAGAAGAAACTATAAGCAGCTTGTGGAAACAACTGTGGAGATTGCAAACAAGGTTGGTGTTAAAGATATTGTGGGGAGAATTGTTGAGGATCTTAAAGACGAGAGTGAGCCTTATCGACGTATGGTTATGGAAACCATCGAGAAAGTGGTAACGAACTTGGGTTCTTCTGATATTGATGCTAGGCTGGAAGAGCTTTTGATAGATGGTATTTTATATGCTTTCCAAGAGCAGACGAGTGATGATGCCAATGTGATGCTTAATGGGTTTGGAGCAGTTGTCAATTCTCTCGGGCAGAGGGTCAAACCTTATCTTCCTCAAATTTGTGGTACCATAAAGTGGCGGTTGAACAACAAAAGTGCTAAAGTAAGACAGCAAGCAGCTGATCTTATTTCTAGAATTGCTGTGGTAATGAAGCAGTGCCATGAGGAGCAACTCATGGGCCATCTCGGTGTCGTTCTTTATGAGTATTTGGGAGAAGAGTACCCTGAAGTTCTAGGGTCAATCCTAGGAGCACTCAAGGCGATAGTTAATGTCATTGGTATGACCAAAATGACACCCCCAATCAAGGACTTGCTTCCTAGGCTGACACCCATCCTGAAGAACAGACATGAGAAAGTCCAGGAGAACTGTATTGATCTGGTCGGACGCATAGCAGATCGTGGGGCTGAATTTGTTCCAGCTAGAGAATGGATGAGGATATGTTTCGAGCTGCTCGAGATGCTCAAGGCACACAAGAAAGGAATTCGCCGTGCCACTGTCAACACTTTTGGATATATTGCCAAGGCCATTGGTCCACAGGATGTCCTTGCAACTCTGCTGAACAATCTCAAGGTCCAGGAGCGCCAAAATCGTGTCTGCACAACTGTTGCCATTGCTATAGTCGCAGAGACATGCTCTCCCTTCACTGTTCTACCTGCTTTAATGAACGAGTACCGAGTTCCCGAGCTGAATGTCCAGAATGGTGTTTTGAAGTCCCTCTCTTTTCTGTTTGAGTACATTGGTGAGATGGGGAAAGACTATATCTATGCTGTGACACCTTTGCTTGAGGATGCACTTATGGACAGGGACTTGGTTCACCGGCAGACTGCAGCTTCGGCTGTGAAGCATATGGCACTGGGTGTTGCTGGGCTGGGTTGCGAGGATGCTCTGGTCCACCTGCTCAACTATGTGTGGCCGAACATATTTGAGACATCTCCCCACGTGATTAATGCTGTGACAGAGGCCATAGAAGGGATGAGGGTGGCTCTGGGTGCTGCTGTCGTGTTGAACTATTGTCTTCAGGGGCTGTTTCATCCGGCTCGGAAGGTCAGGGAAGTTTACTGGAAGATATACAACTCTCTCTACATAGGAGCGCAGGACGCGCTTGTGGCTGCTTACCCTATTATGGACGATGAGGAGAACAACGTGTACAGCAGGCCAGAGTTGATGATGTTCGTGTAGATAGACAAGGTTAGGCAATATTTGCGTTGTACTATTATAAAACTCCATAATCTTGTTTCGTTTCTGTGTTCGGTTGGTTACTGATGCTCTTCTGGTGTCTGCTTGTGTACTTGTTTTGCAGGGGGGCAGTCTGGATTCGGTTTCTACGATGGTTTGGACCGGTCTATTGATACGATGGTTGCTTTCTACTTGTTTTGCAGGACTCTATCTGAAATCGGCGGTTTGCTACGTGATGTGTTGAGAATTCAGAACCATGGCCAACTAGCCCCCCTTTCTGAGTTCCTCTTGGTGTGTAGTTATGGTCCCAATTGTATACGGGGCATCTGTTGCACTATCATTATGTCAATTAGCAGGCATTTTGTTCTTTGCTTCCTTTCTCTTGGCTCGTAGAGAGCCTGCTTGCTATGTACTTTATATAATGCAAGCTTTAGAAACGATTCAGGACGTGTTTTACAAACCCTCGTTGCTGTTTTGCAGAAGTGCAGGTCTTTCCTATTAAGGATGTGCATGTTAAAACCATATATGTCTATCCATAGCGCAAAATCATGCCTGCTATGTTGTGACGGAGCTCTGCTATACGCCTTAAAACTCGAAAGAGTGTGTTCTCTTTGTAGTTGTTTTTCTTAATGATAGATCGACTACTCATTCCAGTATCTCATGGGTTCCTGTTCGTCCTCCGGTCGATCATTTCCTGGTGTATCGATCCCTCATGTGCCTTGCTATGTTTGGTGCGAAAATTCATGCCTGCAACGTCGTCGAGATCGAGCTTGCTATAAGCCACCGAACTTGAAACTATGTGTTTTTGTTGATAAGGAATTGTAGAATAACGAACAAGGAAAAATGCCGATTTATAGAAAAATTATTTGCAATTTGCTTCGTGATTAGATCCGATTATCCTGTCAAAAAGTTGTGGGTTAATCTTGGTTTATACAAATTACGAATCCTTCGTGGTTAGAATTACGAATGCAATATTTCATGTTGACAAGGTACAATTTACACGAAAAAATTTCTTCATCCAATAGTGTATCTTATTCATTTGTGATTTCCTCCCTAAACAAAGCATGAAAAAAAAGCTCAATTCCGCCTACTACCCGAAAGAAGAAAAAAAAAAAAAAGGTAAGCTTCAATCTCCTCAGCTACACTTGGCTTCCTTCACACTCTCCCGTTCTTTACGACGAAGAAGACGAAGTGGGAGGCTTCGTGACGCTCCCAACAGCGCTCCAAATTTGGCCAATCCCTTCCAACACATTGGGCAACACCTTCTCCACCCCTCGCAACGCCACGCCTGAAGCGATTCCGACGCCGAAAGCTCCTAGGTAGCCGGGCTTGGAATCCAGCTTCATGTCCACCACCGCCACTCTGCTGTTCACCACGTCAATCTTCCGCGACGCGTCCACCGCGGCCTTGTCCTTCTTCGCCTTGCTGCTGTTGGCGGAGACCACCCTGAACAGCACGTTCTGCAGGTCTTCGATTACCTTCATCGAAGCCTCGTGCGAACTCATCCCCTGCGTCTCGTAGTGGGATATCAGCTCCTGCGGCGTCGGCGGCTTCTTCCTCGGCGCCGCCGGCTTGCCGCCGCCGTTGCTTCCTTCTTTCGGTCGGACGGCATTAGGGGTTGCCGGTTGTTGCATTGTGCTCCTCGCCTGGATTCGACCTTCTGGGTTCGGGATGAAAGCAGGGGCGGGCCTGAGCTTGAATCTGCGTGGATAGATAGACAGAAACCCTAAAAATTGGGGAAATTTTGAGCAGAGTGAGGTGAGAGGACACTCAGGCCGGTCAGATAAGGTGCGGCGGACAGAACAGAATTAGGAAAGAGGGGCTTAGGTATAGTAATTTTGGCCTTTCGGAGATGTCTGGTTGGAAAGAGAATTAATAATGGAATTCTACTGGGCTTGGATCTCTGGATGGGCCTGTCCAAGGGCTTATTCTACCGGGCTTGGACTTGCATAAGGATCTGTCCATGGGCTTTGCCCTGCTTGGTTTTCGGTTTTGTCTTGTTCTTTTCCAGTCACAGGTCTGGTTTCATCAATGTGCAACTGCAAACAGACTTAGTAATGCTGCTTATTCTGCTGAACCACTGCCGGATTCGGTTCCTAGAGGCTAGAACAGAGATTAGAGGCACAGCGCGCACATCCAGCCATGCCGTAGTAAGGATGAAGTCCTGTGCCAGAGTAAGTATGAAATCGGCACGAAAATGTATCATCCAAGCTAAACATATATCATCAAGTTAGCACATACCACGAACAAACAAACAGAAGCACAAACGATAGACATCTCCTAACCTCATCTCTTTATTCGTTGTTTCCCCGAAAACAGGAGAAACTAACAGTCAGATCATCCGTCAGTCCTACCCAGGTTTGCTCCCCCCTACATTTACATCCAATCAAAAATCAAACTACCTCTGTATTTGCAAGACAGTAATTCCCCCCCTCTACAACTCTTTGCTCTCACAGAAAGATGGGAGCCATGACCAGAGTGATCGTCGCCAACATTTTTATGAGGACGTGAAGCGATGGCCCTGCCGTATCTTTAAAAGGATCTCCGACGCTGCAATGCCCAGGCACAACGAGGAAACCAGAGCGTGTTTAGGGTTTGCATACAGAAGGCTCGAAAGAGAGGCAAATGAATGAAGAGATTGGATTAAAACTGCTTACGTGTCCCCTGTGACTGCAGCTTTGTGACAATCGCTCCCTTTGCCTCCAAGAACTCCTGTCTCGATGTACTTCTTAGCGTTGTCCCACGCTCCACCAGCTGTATTGAGGAAGAGAGCCATGAGAATACCGGACACCGTTGCAAACATCAGCATTGCAGCCACAACTTTAGCTCCCAAAAGTGGTTGTCCTGTGCAATACCCCAGGATCCGGAACACAATACCTGAAAATACAAACAGATGTCCAACCCTCCTTTTCGTCGATAATTCCATCATGGTGGTCGCCAAGTGAAAATTCAAGTTGAATACTTACCAACTACCATGGGAGATATAATAGCCAAAGCACCAGGTTTTATCATTTCTCTCAAAGATGCAGATGCCACGATTGCGACACAGCGACCATAATCTGGCTTCTCCTTGTACTCCTGTTGTCCATGTCAAAAAGATTGGGCACATCAAGTAAGAAAAGAACACATTACAAGTCACTGACATGCGTCGAGGGAAGGTATCCTCACCATGATTCCTGGCCTCTCAATAAATTGCCTTCTGACTTCATTAACAACCTCCTGGGCTGTTTTACCAACTGCTGAGCAAGCCCATGCACTGAACAAGAAAATTAGCATTGACCCTAGCAACCCTCCAACAAAAACTTCTGGAATGGCAATGTCAACCTGACAGTCAATCCAAAATTATAAGATAACATCCGACTCAACAATAAGATGAAATTACTTTGAACATTAGTTGTTACCTGAGTCAAAGGTTCTTGGGCGAAAGTAGAAACCTCATCCATATATGCACTAAACAAAAGGAAAGAAGCAAGTGCAGCTGATCCAATGGCAAATCCTTTTGTTGTGGCTTTTGTAGTATTTCCAACAGCATCTAGGACATCAGTGATCTCTCGAACACTTTCTGGCTGCCAAAGATAGATGATAAAAACAGGCTTCAAGCTCTAACATTTTGCTAATTATGTAGCTCTAATATACAATTTGTAAATACCAGGTAGCAAGGAAGAAAGCACCTAAACTCAAGACCCCTGCTACTTACTACAGATCCCATAATCAACAAAGAAAAGATATAGAAATTTCACCTGCTGACTCATCTCCACAATTCCACCAGCATTATCAGCTATAGGGCCAAACATGTCCATGGTTAGAACATATCCAGCAGTGCTGAGCATTCCCATCGTTGCCACAGCTGTACCGAACAATCCACCAATAGGTTTCCCTGATTCATCCACCAAACCTGAGTTCTGACCAAGCCAAAAGGCTGAAACAATGGCTACACTGATGATAAGAACAGGAAGTGCTGTTGATTCAAGGCCCAAACTAACTCCTGCAATTATATTAGTTCCATGACCTGTGGAACTAGCAAGAGCTAATGAGCGTACAGGCTCATATTTGTAGTCAGTATAGTACTTGCTGATCCAGACAAAAGCGTAGGCAGTGATAATGCCAACCAACCCACACAAGGCAAAGCTAAACCAGGCTGAAGGTGCTTGTTCTGTATAAAGCATCCAACGGGTTGACTGCAAAAAATTCATGTAAAAAAATCATGATACCTCAAAACAAGATAAATACCATCAGAATATACAGACTTCAGATTGGAATCACGTATAATGTAATACCAATGGTTCACAATTTACATGAAGAGAATTCCGGCAATAAATCTAGAAGAAACATTACCGCACCAAATGTAAGGACAGCCAAAACTATCGTAATAGAGTATCCTTTCTGAAGGACTGCCATCGGATCTTCCATAGGAGACTTCACACTGCCTTTCCGTGTACCCCTAATTGAGAGTACGCCAATTGAAGATATAACCAGATCAAATGAATGAACAACGAGCGGAAATAAGATGAAGCCGGATGGATCTGCATGAATAATGGTCAGGAATAAGGCTAACAAATAAGAAATGAACTAGCAGGCAGGTCAAGGTTTCAGGTGAAAAAAATGCATGTTTTTTCCATTGTATAAGATCTTGTCAGATACCCGTACAGGATGAGTAAATAATTGTGCGTAGCTTATAATGTCACTAGCCATTTCAGATCATATGTAACAGTTGGCAATTCATGACTAAAGTGAGATAACCATAACTCTGGCAGCATAGGTACTTGCCTTCTATTTTGCAGCGTTTAGACATTGTCCCGCCAAGTATCATGGCACTAATTATTTCAGCTGCTATACTTTCAAACAGATCGGCACCGCGAGCAGCACAATCGCCAACATTATCTCCAACCTGACAACATTGATTCATTCAATTATCACTGGTGAGATATCTAGAATGTCACAAATAAATAGCAGAAAGAACCACCACAAGCTAAGAATAACATGGCCATGATAACTAAAAAGTATTTCACTTGCCAAGTTTAACCACCACAAGCTAAGAACAGCAACTTAAAGCAGAGCACATCAAAAGTACCAGCCCTAGCAAACAATGCATAATATTTCAAAACTCACGTCACTTGGCAGTCTCGATTCCTAGAGAATGATCAACTACTACAATTGTGCTTTAAACCACGCGCGAATTAGCATAGCTTGATCGAATAGTAGGCAAGGCTTTAGGACTTGTTCTTACGCAATAAAGTCCTTGATTATGATGAAAAATAAAGGTGCAAGCATTCTTTGCGCCAGACACAGTACCATCTTGGAGTTCAGATAAAATCTACTCCATTCAGTACATCAATTCCCAACAACAAAACACCAATTGACCTCGGCACAATGATTTCTGGTTCACATTTGATTTTACCATAGTTTATACTGCAAGTGCAAGTTATTAACTGCGTGCAGACACCATTTCTATTTGAAACTTAGCTGAGAAGCACCCAATCCACACTACAATGTATGACCTCCCTTCCAAGCAAGTGGAACTGATATCCAATGCATAAATAGGAAGGCAAAAAAGGAGGGGGGAGAAACTAGCCCCATCAGATGGTCACCCTTTTTCCTCAACAACAAACAAGAACATAATGCAACTGCATTTTCCTTATCTTATTGCAGTTCAATCATCTATTACTCATCTCAATTCTAACAGCCCTTTTCAAGTCCACACCATTATACCTTCTTAAAGTGAAGAAACAATTGCAGTATCGCAAGCATGCTGAAATCTCAAGAGCAAACAATTTCAAGTAAGGAAGCCTCAAAAGAGAACTTAATACCAGATCTGCAATGACTGCAGGGTTTCTAGGATCATCTTCAGGAATTCCACGCTCCACTTTTCCGACAAGGTCAGCCCCAACGTCAGCAGCCTTTGTGTATATTCCGCCACCTAATTGGGCAAAGAGAGCAACAAAGGAGGCTCCAAAACCATATCCAACAAGCAGAAGAGGCACTGAAAGGGGAAAAAAAAAGAAAAAGAAAATCAGTAATTCACAAGTAACTAGGATCATAAGAAATAGAAAAAAGTAAATTGCTCGTGGATGAGATGGCAGTCAATGGGGATCTTAATAGAGAAGACACACACATGAATATAAATAACCTGTTGGCAGATGCATGCTTTCAGAATCATACAGCCTAGAGATCCAGCAATAAGGGCATGAGGAAAAACGAGTAGCAGGACTCCAAAGATGATACAGAATAAGCTGTTGTTATACAAAAGGCCGAAGATATCCAGTCGACTAATGGCCAAACCAATTCTCTCGGCATTTCCACGATGAACTAAATCCAACCACATTGGTATTAAGTTCATGAGGAACTGAAAACTAATTCAGGTTGATGCATATTAATAGTCTCCAAAGAAGTTGCAGGAAAAGAAGTAGTTACTAACATTCTGTGACCTTCATTGATCCAGGAGAATCCACTCCCAACCAGACATAGAATATGGCATAAAGGATAGCTATTCCCATAACAGCCATTCCAACAACCACCATGGCAGAAAAACCACCAGAGCGAACAGCTATCTGCACATTTCATGCAGAGTAGGCTATTTGAACTTGTTAGATATAAAATAGATGTAAAACAGACTAGGTAAAGACGGGCAGTAATGGGACCACCTGCAGTGCCTCCCTCGCTGACCGCCTTGCAGCACTAGAGACCCTAACATTTGCACGAACCGACACCCACATTCCAACGTAACCGGCAGCACCTGAACAAAGAGCGCCTAAAAGGAAGGAAGTGACAGTGACGAATGCAGTTACCGACCTGCAATAATCAAGCAAAACCAAGAAAATTTGTCACCATGGGTGAGACACAGAGAGATAGCATTACCAACAATATATTAGCAGAGGCACTCACCTCCCTACACCCGAAGCTTCCTGTTCAGCAGTTGTACTACGGAACAAGTATATGCAAAGGATCAGTAGTGCAAGTAACATTGCCATCTTTGATATAGTTCCATACTGCGTCCTGAAGAAACCTTCAGCGCCATCACGAATGGCATCTGATATCTAGAAAGTACGATGATAAGGCTCAGGATGTTTGAAAAGTTAAATTCGTAATGCCTCCGCCAGGTGCAACTAATTTTCTCTAGAATAATGAAAACTCGGCAGAAAATAACAAAACATATATTGAACTGTCCACAATTAGAGAGTGATCAGCATAATAAACAATTTGCAGTTAGACAAGCATAAAAGATAAAATAACCACAAGGTTAATTGCAACACAATCCATGCCCCAGCAAAGAACAAGACTTAGTGTACTAATTGGAATAATAGAGGTTATGAAATATGAAGAAAGCAATAAACCAAAAGTGTCAACCTACCTGAGCCATTTCAGGAGGTCCTTCATCCTTTGCGAGTACCCACTTAGTAAGATATATTGACAAAAGGAAGCTGATGATACAAACTGTGAAAACAAACACAATGATTCCGGAGGTGCTTGCTCCAATGTAAAAAATCATCCCCAAAGACAATAACAAAAGTATAAATAGAACACGAACATTAATCCCCATAAGAATCCGAAAGATCTGCAGGGGGAAAACAAAGAGAATAAAGATATAACATCAGCACAAAGTGATAGCTCAAACAGATTAATTACTGACAATGCATCTTCCTGAGACATAGGATATTTACAAATAAAGCAATTAACCAATATGATATGTCTGTTGTCAGTCTGATGAAATGGAAGTTCAGGAATTAAACATATCAGCGGGTTGCAGGAACTATTGACCATCCAGAGCGGAAGTGATGAAATTAAATAGGATAAATATTGGTTACAAAACCTATGTCAGAGCTTGGTCTATGAAGACCACAATAGAACTTTTAGTTGGTGTAACTTGAAAATACTCTCAGCATATTGCCATTACCATATTTCACATGAAATTTCTTCATAGATTGCATACACACAATTGCTAGCAGTCATGTCTCACATGAAATCCAGTACCTTAACCCAGCCATAACGCACTAACTACTAACTAGTAGAAGCTTAACTAAAGTGAGTCGTACAAAATAAGGACAAATCTAGGACTATATAGAGAAGAAATCCACTTCAGACAAAAAGTAATGCAATTCGGAAACCAACAACTGGCTATAAAAAATAGAAAATGCTGCTACTAGAATATTGGTAAATTGGATCCTGAATCACACATCTATATATGTATTTGAAGAAAAGCCCACCAGACCACCACATCTTCGCAAAATGAGGTACAAAGTAAGAATGAGGATATTTATTTTAAAATGAGAAAAGAAAAACATGGAAGCAGTGATTGAATTCCTTACCAGTGGAGTATAAGCTTTGTTACGCATATTGGGGAAAGTCCTTGGCCTGTCTTGGTACGAACCCAGGCTCCCACCCTCAACATCCTCCCCCATCATCATTGCGCTGGAGGAATTCACTCTTTGAGCTACAGTAAAATAGCTCTCAGCTGTTTGGGGCAAATCGCCCCCTGATGCAGGTCGCTGAATTTTGGATTAATTTTATTTCTCAAGTGATTTTTATAGGAAGAGTAATTTTCTGGAAATGCTGCTGTTTGGGTTACACTATAGCTGTGAGTGTGACAAGCAGATCCATATGGCTGAAAGATCTCAGGGACTCATTCTAACTCCTGAAAGGGAAAAACTCAGTAAAAATAGATAAAGAGATGCAAATGGAGCTGTACAATCTCATCGATGCATATGCTCATACGAGAGAATCAATTATAAAGTACAACAACAGGAAGCAAGATTCTTGAACTATGCCAACCAGACGTCCTATATAGATACTTAAGACACCAAACAAACAAAGAACTAGAAATTCTTGGTGCGCTTATAATGATAATATACCCAGGCTAAGAAGAACCAACAAAACTTACATTCTCCGAAAATTCACAATGCAAAGACAAGGCAAATTCTCAGCAGCATACTCCCAACATCAGTACATTTCCAAAATTCATAGAACCTTTATTCGATCAGCATTCCAACAAGCCTTGCACCTAGCCAGACAATTGTTTCCCCTCTAAAGATGTACTGATAACCGCTCCAAGTACCTCAGCTCGGACTATAAACTTCATATCCTATTCCCGGCAAGAAAAATAGTGGTTTCATCAACAGCAAATCAGTGACAAGGCAAAGGTCTGAGCTAGCGCGGGAGCATTTTAAACCCTAAGATCTCCACGAATCGAAGCCTGATTACATTCACCTAACTCATTTCAAAGCACAGAAACCAACAAATATCCGTAAATCGACGACGCACTCGCTTTCGCATGCATACTCAGATCATAATCACGAGGAGGGAAGAGAAAGCATGAGCTAGCACTGAACGATAACGGTAGAAGAAGGTAGGCTACCTTTCAGGAAAATGCAGAGAGGAGCGGATTACATAACTAAAAAACCGCCGATCACCGAAGGGATTCAACGATTATAAGAAGTACAAATGGTAGCAAAGCACTCCGATCGTCGACTATGGTCGGCCGGCCCCTGCTTCTCTTTCTGTCTACATAAAATTTGCAGTCGTTTCTCGCTCGGAGAGAAAGAAACAAACGGAAATGGTAAATTTGCCGTCGGGGTCAGGGGTTCCGGGTTTGTTTGAGTCGTGTTTTTTACGTTTTTGTTTCACGTTTCTCGTTTGGATAAATTTACCCTTCTTTTTTTTTTGGGTTATAGGTATAATATGCCCCTCTACTATGACGTTTTATCAAACATGCCCCTCTACTATTTTTTACATCAAACATGCCCCTGTACTATGAAAAAATGATCAAACATGCCCTTATGTTAAATTTTTCATTGAAACAATCGTCAATAATGGTCGAACCGAGATTTAGACGACCCGACATCGGCAAATGGGAGAGAAAATGTCAGTTTTATCTCTCGTTGTATTTCTCTGGGTGTCTTCAAAGTGAAATTATTTGAATTATTTGGCTATACAAAAGACAAAAAAAAAAGTAAAATTATTAGGGATATTTTAGACATTTGTGCCGCCCAAACCAAAGTTCGACCTTGGTTAACGGTTTTTTGATGAAAATTTAAACAAAATGGCGTGTTTGATCATTTTTTCATAGTACAGGGGCATGTTTGATGTAAAAAATAGTAGAATGGCATGTTTGATAAAACGTCATAATAGAGGGGCATATTATACCTATAACCCTTTTTTTTTAGTTAGCATATTCCATTCCAGTGCGTCCATGTCTGCCTGACGCCGTGTCAGCTTCACGAATAAGACGATGCCACATAATGATCGTGGGTTCTAAATCAGAAGCAAACAATATGTGCTTTTGTCTTGCCAACATTGTCCTTAAACATAGACTTGAACCGACAAGTATAATCCAATCGTTTTGAACAATGTCGTGTATGATATAGATGGCAGAGCTCTCATCCTCTCGACACTCTCTTCAATATGAAAAAAGTCTCTAAGATAAGTGTCGAAGATTTTCAATCTTTTTAAGATTTAGCAAAACATTTTATCCACTTTCCATGATCATTTGAGATTGTTGGAAGAACAATTTTCAAATTGCATCACAATCGTCTACAAAGGGTCCTAAGTTCCTTGTGTGGATTAACATTGCATCCAATTAGTAGGGTCCTAAGTTCCTTTATGTCACTGTTGTCTATTGTCACCTTTTTATCAAGTGCAAGTAGTAGGGCACAAGTTCAACATTGCATCCATACACACTAAAAACTTGAATACTATTTGGGTGCCATTACATCCAATTATAGAAAAGAAAGAAAGTAAATGAATACGATCATCGAAATTGACATACATAAAGTTAAGCTACAAATAAGTTCACGTGTATACGTGAAAGTTACTAACTATTATGACGAGTTTGGATAGGTGCATTTTTACATTTGGTATAATTTGTTTGAATGTTAAGTGAATATAGTGATTGGATTACAATATTTGGTATATTTTTTTTTACAAATTTCGAATACATATCAAAAGTCAGTGACTTGAAATTCACCATCCAATGAAAGGGAGACCTACCTGTAAACTTTCAAAAGTAAAGGTGATGTAACATCCGAACAACAATATTGAAGTACTACAATGTTACTTTTCATCAATCTTTGGGTCTATATGTAACTTTCATTTAAGTTTGGGTACTACCTAGTAAGACCTACTAAATTCATCAACCAAAAGATGGAGAGCCCAGAAGAACCAACTGTTCCAGCCATCATCTGTTCCTACTTGCTTCCACCTTCCCATTGCATCAAAAACCCAAATTGCAGGGGCAACCAAAACGCAACAGCCAACAGGAATAAATCAAGATATACACAGAGCTTGTAAGGCTGTAGTAATGAAAAATGCATACATATTCATCATCGAAACCACAAGATCACGATCAAGCAGTACACATTACGGCACCAAAACTCCATTTAAGCGCATAATGTTCCAGATCCTGAAGAAGACAGGGGGGGAAAAAAGCACCAAGAACAAAGAAGGAGCATGATAACACGATACGACGATCAACAACCCAAATCACAGCATGCAATCCGCGTTGGAAGGAAGCCTCCTGAGGAAATTATGCAGCAGCGACGGCACAGCAGCAACCCTCATCCTCGGCGGCCGAATCGCATAGCTCCCTCCAAACACCACCAAGTACCTCACCGGACAAATGTACACCACCGCGCAACAAACCAAACACACCACCAAGAACAGAATCGTCGCCCTCGGATCCCTCCAGCCGAACAACGAATGCACCCTCTCCATCTGCGTCGCCACATCCCCAACCATCAGCATCACCCTGCCGCCAATCCCTCTCATCCTGTCATACCTGTTCCTCACCACCTCCCCTTGCCTCGACGTGGGGAACGTGTCGAATTCCTCGTCTAGCACATCGAACCCTGCATCCTCCGCGTGTGACATCTTTATGTCCATGTGCGGAGGGTGCCTGGGCCGACGAGGATACCCCGAAACGCATGCCAAAAAAAGAGTCATAAACACACAAGGCAGGATGAGTCCGGGGAAATGAACCAGGATCAAGAACAGGACGTAGAAAGAAAGTGTGACAGATGGATTGTTCCATCCTTTAATCCAATCGAACGCTCTGTAAATCCGCGACAGGAAGCTGAAGCAGGCCATGAACCTGTGCAGGTTGGCTTTCCCCTTTCTGAGGCTCCACAAATTGACCACGGAATCCAGCACGTACTCCACCACGTCCTTGTTCAGCGGCGGGTCCGCCCTGCCTAGCCTCGACGACAGGATGTAGGCCGCCTGGTGCCTCAGCCCGTCCATCTGGTAAAACGACAGCGGATTGATGTAGTGCATTCTCGGGAACAATGGCTGCGCGTAGGTTTGCAGCAGGTTGGCTACAGAGTTGCAATTGAACTTGACGGCCAAGTGAAGCTCCCCTGTTTTCCTCACCCCGTTAGGTTGTAGCACGATTAGAGGGTACGACAGCGTGTAGATCCGATTCGTTTCCAGCGTGGAGAGCCGGATTCGAACCTTCCCGATTCTTGAATCGGAAGGAGCAGTGGTCTTGTTCTTGTTCTTGTTATTGTCGTTGGTGTTTCCTAGTTGGGAGTTGTCGAACACCGCGATGGTGATCACGGTGCAAGGATCGTAGACGTCCCACGAGTACTGCTCGTTCCAATTGGGCGCGAAGCTGTCTAGAACAGTACTTGTCCTGACCCACTTCGGCCCGTATTTCGCCACGCAGTAAGCGTCCGTGGACGCCCGCCCGCCTTCCTTGGACTTCATCGGCACCAATCCTTGTGCTTTCAGGATTCCGAGCTCTAGAGTCCCGATCTTTTCGGGCCACAGCTTGGGGGAAGTGGCCCTGAGATCGCTGCAGTAGTTGGTCGGTTCGTCGAAGACGTGGTACACCCCGTCGAGGAAAACCCTCAAGTGAAGCCTCCCGCAGAGCTTGACTGCTCCCTTCTTCTCATCATTTCCGGCCTCTACTCTCTCTATGTTGATCCACTTCTCTCCCGTAGCAGGAACCGGCAGAATCCTCCTCTCCAGCCTATCGAGATCGAGCACAGAACGACCGATGTTGAACCCGATCGCTCGGTCCTCGACAATGAGGATCAAGGGATCGTCGAACGGCTCTGCCGCGACGAATACGAGCTCTTCGGAAGGGTTTAGGGTAGTAGTGGTGGTAGTAGGATTCCTGTCAGGGGAAATGATCCTGCTCTTCAGGACCATTTGCCCTAAAACCGCTTTAACGTGGATTTCGGGACGTCTTCTGTTGTTAATGTCGGGAATTGACAAATCCTGAGCGCCAATCAGTTGGATTCTGAGGTACCACAGCCTAGGGGAATGATACACCTTGGCGCGCGTGTGGGCGACGCTGTCGCCGTCGCCGGAGTGCCATGCGACGGAGAAGGCGTCGTCGGATTGGTTTCCAATCCAGACGGCGGCCATCAGCTCTCCGGCTACTCGCTGCCCGTTGCCGTCCTCCAATCTGTACCATTGTGGAGCCAGGGGGCTGTCGGGCGGGAACCGGGTCGGGATGTCGCCGGTTTCGAAGCAGACCCGACCCGTGAATTTTCCCCTGGCTGGTGGCGTCTTTAACGAGGATTTTCAGGAGGTTCCCCTGAAGCCGGCCGGCGTCTTTGGCGAAGGCGAAGACCTGGTTCCATTCCGGGTTGTGGGTCGGGTCCTCGAGCACCCGGGTCGCTGCTCGGTGGCAGCCGATTCTGAGCTCGACGAAGGGGCGGTGGAGGAAGCAGGTTTCTGGGTCGTCGACCGGATTGAGGTTGGCTCTGACGATCCTGACGTAGAGGAAGTGGCGCTGCTCGACTAAGGTGAGCTTGTCGTTGCTGATTGTGGTTAGGGACTTGCGGCCGCCGATATCAGGGGAAGTTTCTTTCAGAGAGAAATCCATCGTATCCTCCTTCGGCTTCTCCTTTGGAGGCATTTCTGCTTGAAATTCCGATTGATAGGATATCCAAAACAAATCTGGTGAGGAGCTCTGTTTTTCTTAGTTTCAGGGGAAACGATGGTTTGAACTGATCTAGGCAGCTGAGTTGTAAGGAAGTAACTATTCAGCACCGCCATTTGTACTGGGAATTAATTAGTTTAGCAAACAGGGAGCAAAATCAGGGAATTGGAATTCAAATATTGTTCGGTTGAAGAAATTTATGTCCCATATTCGACCGTTCTTGGAATCATTTTTGAACTGCAGATTGATATCTCGAATTCCCCTGTTCTTGTTCTGAAACCATGGCTCTGAATTCTGATGAACGGGTGCATAAATGCTCCACGAAGCAATTTCCGGATTGGTGCATTATTACCGTAGTAAATTTTGGATACGCCAAACAGATTTCTTTTTGAGCTATGTTCACAACATTTGGGATGACATTGATGACAAACATTCAAGCATTTTCAAAAATATTAGATCTGGTGCAGAATATTATGATTTCATAGATCAAAATTGACCGGCGAAATTGCTATCACACTTCGTTCACCACTTTGGTAATGACAATGTCCGTTCAAGTGCCTAGCGTCATTGTGGTAATTTGCCTATTACAACTGTGTTCAATCTTTTATCGATTGCCAATGGAATTAAGTCATCAAGTATATTCCGTTAACTTTGAAGTAAAATAGAACGGATTGTAGGGCAAAAGGGAAAATAAAAGGCAGATTTTTACATCACACAGCAATCCATATAAATCTTAAACCATAAGAAATACTTTGGTCCCCTAAGTTCTCCACAACTCACTAACAGAGATACAGACTATGTTCGTTAAGGATTCTACATGTCAGAGAAGAAGGCGGCACTTGTATTGCCACTGCTACTACCATTTTGCACATTTTTCCTCTTGGTCCCTGCAAAGTTCAGGAGCATCATCAACAACATTTTCTAACAGAAGGAATGCAGATACCACGCACGCAGTTCAAGTTTGTAAAAGACCGTGCATACCTTTCTTGGACTTCGGAGGATTCATATCCACATCCATCCCCTCACCATCATCATCTTCGGACGCATCACCTTGATCCTCTTGAGTATTATTAGCGTCATCACTTTGCAATAACTCGTCCATATCCCAGAACTGAGATGAAAGCAAAAGAGAAAAAACGAATTGGAGGTCAGGACGCATAGATATGCAGATCAGCATGTTACGACTATAGAATCACCAGTGGGGGAGGAAGAGAGAGAGAGAGAGAGAGATAGGACCTTCAGCATTTGATCGTGTGAAATACTGCCAAGGAACTTTCTGTCGTGAGAAAACCCTGCACTCACCCACAAAACAATTTGAGCCTAGATGAGCATTGATTTTGCGTGACAGTATCTCTGTAGATAAAGTGTCGTGTAAAGAGATACTGCAAGGAGCTATTTGACTGTGAAAGAGAAAGAAAATGTACCAAGTCGCTCAATAGGGTACTCCGAGTGCTCAGCAAGTGGCTGGATGACTCTATTGGGCAATATACCAACCACACTGAAGAGGCATAATAGAACCGTAATCAAGTGAGCAAATGAGGATATTTATAATCAGAAAGCACAAATGTAGGGACATCGTGTATAACTTGCAGGAAGGTCACCTGATAAGTCCATTCTCGCATCCAGCAATGACTCTATCTTCATCCAGCTAAAAAGAAGAAGAGTATCTCAGAACTTCAGCGCGAATTGCCTTATGATGCAAGTAACGTATTAAAGATTTAAGCTCAGATATTCACCTTCAATAAACAATCAATGGAATTTGGAGCTAGACCAACAAACCGATCACTGGAATTAAAACATTGGTCTCATTCAGTAATGAGTAAATTGCAGCCCCCAATAACACAAAAAAGACTAGCAGTAATTGATGTCCGAAAGCTTCTGATTTTAGTCCAGCCAAAACAACTTACCTGCAATCCTTGAAGAAACCCCAGGAATATAATAATAGCGTCCCATCTTGTGAGCCACAAATAACCTTCCGACCATTCTGCACACCAATTGTTCCAAGTTAGCACATACCAACTAATTCAAAGCTCAATACTCGTTACAGTTCTCCAACCAAGGGGATATTTTCCTATAACTCATGGGGCTCTTCAATTATTCAAATGGGGAAGGTAATCATGGAGAATATAGTACGTTTTACGTCACATAGAAAGATATAACTCCTATAGGGGAAATTTTATTAGGATTGTGAGACATAATCTGTTATTGGATGTAGCAACATGTTCAAATGATAACAGACATCTGAGGTTAGGTACCTTCATTATAACCACAGATAACAGCTCTTCTTCTGAGAATTCAGAGCGGGTTTGGACCTAATGGAAACAACATCAAAAGGTAAAAGATAAGAGCTTCCAAGATTTTGGGACACCATATGCCATCAGATAGGAGAAATGCTTGCCTTGTTACTTCTAAGGTTGCAAACAGAAAGAGTCCCGTCTCCGCTACAAAAATGCAAGAAAAAAGTTAATCAGAATGAGAGGACATTACCACAGGGATGAAAAAAGACCAATCCGAACCAAACTTAAGAAAGCAACTCTTGGCTATTGCAGAGAGTGCAGAACTATGGTTCTTCTCAAAAACCACTACAATATCAGAGTAAAGGCTATCAAGCTGAATTTTTGTATAGCTGGGAAATCGAGAAAATGCAAACTAAACAGTGGAGTTTGGCAAGATGAAATGTGATTAGCAGAGTAACAAATGAGCCACAATATTAAACAAATGAATAGCATATGACAATACCTCATAGTAAGTAGTTACTATGAAAAGTTACAAGGAAACAATAATAGAAGACATGATCTAGCTTTCCAGTGAAACAGAACAGAAGAAATGAATAAAACCTTGTTCCCAGCAGTTTCCCTGAATCAGGTACATAAGTCATATCTGAAACATAGTCCTCGTGAGCAGTAAAAGAGTTGCAGCAAGTGCGTTGCCGAGTGTCCCATACCTAAAAATCAAGAACAAGGATGAAAGTCAAATCAAGGACCAGAATTTGGAGGGGAAAAAAATCTACAACATTTTGAAAAAAAGAAAAAAACTGAACCCCATAGCTTAGTCCTATACATCTCTACGGTCACTAAATCAGAGAAGTCGGTCTTGATCTAAAAAAGACGAACAAATGTGTGATCTAAGAGAGAGACACAAGATGCTAACCTTCATGCAGCCTTGGTCATCTCCAGTTGCAATAGTTGATTCCGTGACGTTGATCAAACTATAGATGGCATCCCTACACCAAGTAAACAAAATTAAGGAAATAAGAAAATGCAAATACGAACTCAGAATGGAATAAAATGGAAGTTTAGCTCTTTAGAAGATAAAATGAGCACAAAAATATCCATTCCAGACATTCTGAAGAGCGTTCAAAAACAAAAAGAAGAATAGATAATAAGAGTAGTACTCATGAGCATCTTCTAGACGGGCAATTGCAGTTCCAGTTTCTATATCTGTCGCCAAGATAGATCGGTCCTTAGACCCAGTAATGATTGCTGAAATGACATAACAAGTTTCAATTCAGAGAACTAAAAGTACCAAGATTCACAAGTGAAGGCAGAAGAAACAAAGTAGGAGCGTGGCGGATAATGAAACATGCTTGATTACCCACCCTGTCCACCATTGATGAATCGAACAGCTCTGCAAGATTCAGAGTGCGCCTTCACTTCAAGCAACTTCTGTGAAGTGGAGTCAGCACCATAACGATATCTGCATCAACCATGAAAAACACATATGACTAAAAGGTCACAAAATTTTCGAATTGCAAAGTCATAACCAGAGCAAACGAACAGAGGCCAAAAAAACTAACAGGTGAAGGTCTCCAGTGATTAGGGCAGCAGCGACCAAGTGATCGGAAGGATGAAAGGCCATATTAAACGGCATTTCTCCTAAATCGATTTCCATTTCGGACTCTGCTATGTGTTCCTTTCTCCAACTCCAACTGACAAGCCCGCTATTCAGTAGCCTTGGAAGACTGCACAGTGCTGATGCGGATACGTTAAGAACAAGCTATCAGAAATACAGGTCAGTTCAGAAGGAAAGTAAGACATAAGTGGGCAATAACAATTTCCAACAAGCAGGAAACTTTATTGTTTCAAGCAACTTCAGTGTATCTCCACAGAGATTGGGTGTCTGTATACTACTAAAAGATGCTTTAGAATTTCCATGTGAATCCAATTATCCAGTCTCCATTTCACCCACTAGTTTTATGTCAAACTAACACCGTCGAATAGAATCAAGAAACGAGTCAAAAGACCGAGTCAAATACATTGCTACTAATTCAGCTCAGCTCTGAAGAAGATGCAGAATGACAATTCACAAGTAAAACAAAACTCAAAGTAGCAACTGCTTCACTGTTAAATTCGCAGTAGCTTCATGTGCTTTGAGCTCTACTTGGAATTGACTGGATTGAGGATTATAAAATTCAGGATTCCAGAAACAAGGAAATAAGCTGTATTACCAGACACAACAAGATTTTCTTTTTTCTCAGAGAAAACAACAGACCAACGGAGAAATTATTACACAAGGGAAACAGAGGATATCATATTTATACAAAATGATTCTATCTTCATTCAACTCTCAGTGTCTCAAAATTTACTGGCAGAATAACGTTGCTCGATCACTAACCTTACAAGCAGGCAAACTGAAGTTCATGCACCAAACCCACAGTTATGACAAGCAAATTGCGGACACAGTAATTAAGGGAGTACTGGCGGGAAACAGCAGGCGGCCGCCGTTAATTCTCCTCCCTGCTGCTGCAACTGCAATAGCGAGTACTGGCGGCCGAGGACGAAATTCGACAGACAGAGAGAAAGGGACGCGCTCTCTCTTGGAATTTTGCTTTCACGGTGCGGCGAGGGAAGATGGGGCGGGAGGAATCGGTGGAAAGGAATAGGGTTTATAAAATCTGAAATTAGGAGGAACAAGGGTTTAGAGAAAAGGGCAAAAAGGCGTGTGGGAGAAAGAAAAATACTAACAATTCAAGCAGGGGTTAGACTTCGGATTCGAACTCACGACCTAACCTTGACTATTCTCATTTTTTTAGGAAGTGTTTAGTAATTTGCTAAATTACTCTAAGGGGTCGTTTGGATTAGAGATTGTAGTGAGGGATTTGTGAGGGATTTGTAAACAATCTCTCATTATGCAGGATTTTAAAACAATCATGCGTTTGGTAACATGAGGGTTTTCGTAATTAGGAATTTCAGAAACTCTCAAATAAGAGTTTTTGAAATAGCTGATCCCCATCAGCTATTTCTAAATCTCTCATTCTTGTTTTAATTTTTCCAAAACCTACCCTCACCTCTTCTTCTTCGACTTTCTTCCTTTCTCCGATAAGCCTTCTGCACTCTTCTCGAATCACCCCACTGTCATCCTCCCTCACCATACCAGCTCCCAAACCCCAACCGCTGGCGTATCTTCTCCGGAGCAGCTTCCAGATATCCCTAGAGAGGGTAAAGCCAATCCCCACAACTGCAAAGGCAACAAAGCGTAGCTGGCCAGCAATCGATTCCGACGGAGATGAAGCAGTGAGAGGAGGATGCTAGTCACTAGTCAAATTCGCCTCCAATTTCACCAACGATCAGATCTTCACTCGCATACCTCCACTCGCTGGTAGAATTGAGCTTTCCATCGGCATCTCTACAGATCTAATTTGCTGGATTTCTTGTTCAATATAATGAAAATAGAAAGCAGACAACAGAGGAAAGGGAAGAAGAAACAAACGCAGATGAGGGATAAATTAGGGATGGGTAGAATTGTAATTTTATTTTTTAATTAAAATCCCTCATTCATTTCCAAACAAGTAATTTGGGTCAAATCCTACATTTAAAATAGCTAGGTTTTTAATTGAGAGATTTTAATCCAAATCTCTCATTTACACATTTCCTCATCCAAACGACCCCTAAATTAATTGATAAAGAATTTCTTAGAGCATAGTGACATATGAATAATTGATAAGCTTCGACCAAAAAATGAAATTGATAAAACATTGATAGGCCATGTAAAAATTGCACTAAATAAAAACAAACAGTTCGATAAAAAAAAATACAAAAATTTTGCATGTCAAATCACAAAAAATAAAAAGAAGGGATATTTGTCGACAATAAGTCGAACCAACGATAAAACGTCTTGTTTTACAATGATTCGGATAATCCTTTATACCTACCAAAAACATAATAGAATGATGCCGCAAACTACAAGAAGCTAAGACCCTGTTTACTTTCATTTCTGTTTCCTGTTTTTGAGAAAACAAATGTTGAAAACAGGTGAAAACGACATTTTTTCGTTTTCGAAAACAGTAGGAAGCTGCCACTTTCTGTTTTCAGAGTTGGAAACGAATAGAAAACAGAATGAAAAGTAAACATGTTTTCTCATTTCGTTTGCCAAATTTATGACATGAAAACAGAAAACAGGAAACGAAAATGGAAGTGAACAGGAACTAAACTTCTCTCAATAGAGCACCACCTAAATGCATTCCAATGAATCCTTCAAGCTTACGAGCCACAAGCCCACAACCAGTAGTTTATTTGGTAGCCACAATATGCATTTCTCGAATCCACTGAAAACATGGCCAACCCGATATAATCCAAACACACAGAGCAATCTAGGTTGCACAGACTGATTGAATATGAATATTAACTAGAGCACTAACTAAAAAACAAACCGGGATAAAGTTCAAATTTGGACAATAATGAGACCATAGAAATAATAATCAAATCGACCAAGCAATTAAAGACTGATCAAGCAACTGGTTATCATTCTAATGCCCCTGTTCTGTACAACAACCATGAGGTTCTGTTTCTAACTTCCCATTTCCAACCATGAAGACAACAACCATGAGGTTCTGTTTCTAACTTCCCATTTCCAACCATGAAGACTACATATATACCTATTACCTATATCGATGTCAGTCGTCACTACTTGAGCCGCCGCCTCTTGAAACTCCCAACACCCTTCTTCCCAGCTGGTTTCTTCATCTTCTTCCCTTTGATCAATTGAACCCGCCGCCTGGAACCCCTCAACCTTCTCCTCGACGACAATGATGCAGATGCAGATGCAGCAGCAGATACATCCTTAGCAGCAGTACCAGTCCTCACTCTAATGCCACGACCATTCCTGCAAGACAAGCTCTTCTTCCTCCTCCTGGAAGCAGCAACACCACTCCTCCTCCACTCATCTTCCCTCATCCTTACCGACTTCCGCTTTCTACCACCACCCAAATGGCCGCCCCGGCCAGCAGAGCTTGACAATGACGACGACGAAGTCGTGGAGGTACTGTCAACATCATATCCACGACCACCACTACCTCTCTCAATGTCCTGAAACCGTCTCCTCATCTTCCTCCGCCTCCGGTTCGTGTGTCGGACACGCATCAGCTTGTGCCATAAGCAGCAGGTGCAGTCGTGGAGGGCGTAGCAGTAAGTGGCGAATCCGGCCCAGCACATCTTGCAGAGGCTCTTGATCACGCACTGGCAGATTCCGATCTTGAACAGCAAGTAGAGGAACACCAGGACTGCAAGATTAACAACAGTGAGAAAGAACGAACAACATACAGTAGTAGTAAATCAAGGAGATTCAGATGATCATCAATCGTGATGCTGAGTTTTACTTATGTAGCAGAGGGCCAAGATGAGCACGAATTTGAGCAAGTTGGAGATGCATAAGTGGTCGATGAAACATCCCACGTCCCACGGCCCTGCACAGATGTCACTGCAAATACAGTTACCAGTTCTCCATTAGCACTGATTCCCTCAAATCAAAACACAGTTTAAATGAATAGATATGGAGAGGAAAGGAACTGTACTGACTCGCAGGATCCACCAAATAGAGATTTGAGAGGAGCTGTAACAAGATTGCCAAGAAAAGCTCCAACTCCGCTTGCTGCGTGACTCAAACCTGCTCCCATTCCTATCCCAGCCAACCAACCTTATCTTGTCTCCCTAAACCACCATTTCCGAGTCCATCACTGATTCATTCATTCATTATGGTTCCATACAGACCCGATTTGATTTCTTCGATACCCTAACTAACTCTAGACCTGCAAGTAGGAGTAAAAGTTAGGTCACCCAATTCGTGAGTTTGACCTCCACGTTCCCGCTCTAGGGCGTGAAACCGTGAATTCTTATAAATTCGCGTACCTACAATTTTGGGAGCGAGCGAATTTTCTTTAGAAGGAGGCGGTTTCTTGAATGAATGAGAAAGCTTCCCCAGCAAAAGTGATATGGATCTTCTGCATCATCTTCACGGACGGATCCACGGTGAGCTTGGCGCACATCTCCGGTCCCTAAAAACGAATCAGTGAACAGGTTAGGGCCCTGCAGAGGAGAGCTAGATCTAGAAGACGAAGCGGCGGTGCGACGGCATCCGCCAATCTGGACTTCAGGGCTTCGTTGTTGGGGTCGAAGTCGAGCCTTTCTTGTACGCGACAATAACGTCTGGGTCAAGACGAGATGAGAGGTGCCGAGTGATTGAAGGGCGTGGTTGGTGGGAGTGAGGGCGATGGCGCGAAGAAGTGATTGATGGTGGTAGTGTAATCGCCGGCGGATAACGCCACTTTTTTTCCACTTTGCTTTGGTTTTGTCTGTTACGGATTATGGAAAATTCATTGAAACGATTGGAGAAAAGGATTTGCAGAATTGAGAGTAGAATTTGGGGAAATGTTGAAGGAAGAAGGTAAGCTCTCCTGCATTTTGCTTAATCGACGTCAGATTGTGGTGGTTATTATTTTTTTTTTTTTCTTAATGCACGGCGGGTTTTTTTTTTATGCACGGCGGTTATCTTTTTCCTTTTCTTTGGAATATATTTACATTAAAAAATCTGCTCATTTTGGATGAAAATTTCTTTCGCCTCACCGTTCCTTTTTTCAATTGATTAGAAACAAATTAAAATTTCTGATTATTGTTTCTACCAGTTTTGTAGTACAATGTCATAAAAGTATGGACCACTTGAATTTTCGTAACAAAAATATAATTATAAAAGCTCTTTAAATGATGTTCATAGATTAGGTTAAAATGATGTTCATAGATTAGGAAGAGGTGATTCTTTCATCCCTAAATTCAATCGAATGAATTATTCGAATCTTCTTCACAATGTACTAAAGAAAAATATTGTTATAACCAACGATTGAAAAACCGTACCATATAGACGGTTCGACCAGAAAAACTTCATATTGGATGTTAGACCCGTAGGCGGTATTTAGCAATATGAAATTGTTGAATGACGATTAAATCACGATATAAACATAAAATACTACCATTGTTTTCTCTGGTACAATCTCCGACACCGTTTTACAATTCTTGGTTATAACCAAAATAAAAAATTATATTATATATCATCTAATTAATGAAAATCATATATATATATAAAAAAAATATAGAATACCTGCCCAAATCGCAGGGTCAAAGCTAGTTAATTATAGAAAGGTAATGAAGATGAGAAAGTTATAGGCGATTTTGCAACGAGTGGGAGGGTTGGAGAAAAGATAATGCATTCGGAAGTTCAATTCTTTGCTCAAAAATTGGCTATACGAGAACTCGGGTCTTATATCAATTTTTCCCATTAAAAATTTATAAATAATAATATAATATTGACCGACATTCTCAATACCAAAAATTTTGAAACTATACGCTCTTATGTTTACGTTCTCTCTACACGAACTGGTTACCTAAAGTAAAAGGCCGGCAGAGATGACCGAGTTATCTAAACACGACGACGACTTTGAGTATGATTGGACCTACTTGCAACCAAATCAAAGGAATCAATCTATTCTACACACAACTGTGGAGAACTACATTACATAGAAAGGGAAACAGAGAGACTCATGAATATCCATTCGGAAATTCATGCATTCGAACCTGTCTTTCTCATTGGTTTAGTTGTTGCATGTTGAAACATCCACAAGATCCCTATTTTTTCCAGTCTGCTTTGATCGATCTACAGGATGCCCAAATGAAAATAGCGAGAAGAATTCTCGAGTGTCTCAGCATTGGATCCGGTCGAGTATCTGTGAGAAGTACCAATGGAAACTGTGGGATATGCTGACCCTGCCAGGTTTTGTTGTTGATCATGGGCCGTATGGGCTGAGGCCGAACATGGATTAGATGTAGCCAGAGAACGTTGGTGGGTCAGGCCACATTGCCCACTCGAATCATGAATAAGTTGTGAAATTCAATTTAGTCATTATGCTCAACCTTTCACATAACACACATGATTTGGTTGCATATAAGAATAAGATTGTAATTTATGGAGAGAAGTAGTTAGACTTGGCAATCCAATCAATGTCTAATTCATTGCCTTATTTTTGTTCTCATGAAAGCAAGCCTAAAAGTGGAAGTGATAGACAATGGTCTTGTACTTCTCCTCATGGTTGGCCGATCTTCTTTAACTCTTCATCCCAACCACTGCATCTGCAGTTCATAACCAACTCCACTGTTGCAATGTTTACTCTGCAGTTCCCTCGAGCAAGCCCTTTCTTCATTTGACATTCTCAACCGTTGATGCATTACCAACCATGAGCAAAATACATGCGTACCTAGGCAAATGAAAGCTGGCAATATGATGCTCGAATAGGGGCAATCCAGAAAGACATATCAACATAATTGCACTTAGCATTGGAGGTCCAAAGAAGTTATCCACAAATGTAGCCACCTGCAAAAGCAGGTTGAACTAAGCAAAAGAAAAGGAATATTAAGAAAATTTCGGTCCAAACTTTGAATTAGAGAAACAAAGTTCAGTATGCGACCTGCCACCACCACAACTACTGCAAATTAGCATCAATAGCAGACGAAGAATGATGCAGAATTTGTCTATTCAATATGAAGTGGGGAAACCAAAGAGATGGGAAATGAATATAAGTAAGACAACCCAATTGAGAGCAGTGATCCTAACAACCACCATGGGCCAACCGATGAGATTAAAGAAGGAAGATGGCTTTATTAGAATTGAGTATACGATTTGTGGTTTCCAGCCGTGTTTCTGGTCTCCATAAATCTGACGTCGGATTGAATGGAGGGGTGGGCATCAGTTCGGTTCGGTTTACTAGGTGTCATATTTTGAATTGAATTACAAACCCGTTCAGTTCGTTTTTTCACACGAAAACGATACATTTTTACTATAGCAACATCCACCCTATTCAACATTTATTATAGCGACACCCACCCATTCAACACAAAACCGATCAATCGAAATTCAAGTTCGGTCGACAGAACCTGGTTTCAGAAACATATACTTTTTCTTTTTGAATTCCGAACCAAACAACATTTATTCGGTTTCGATTCGCTTCGACTCAGTTTTACCGAACTGGATGCCCACCACTAATGAGGACTGGGGAGGGTCTTTTTAACAAAGAGAGTGACGAAAAGAGAATACGAGCCTTTTTTTTAGCTGACTTGGATAGACTTTGAGAAAGGCTTACTTAGACGGAGAGAGAAACACCCTCGAGTTTCGCTTTTACGGTGGCAAGCCAATTGAAAGGGAAGGGGATGCCGGGAAAAAAAACTGAAGCCACTTCGAACTCAACACCAACTGTTTCTATGAAACGAACGTCTTTGAAAGAATGCATGGCGGTGATGGTAGTAGTAACCAAAAGAAATTGATGGCACTGATAAAAGCTAGCCATTTTTAATCTCTTATAGATCAAAATTAGTCCGTATGTACATATTCCCTAATCTGCACTCGGAGAATCCGAAACAGGCATTCTTCCTCCAGAATGCAAGAACACCGAGTTGAATTCCTCGTCATTTTTAGCAAGCATGTCTTTCAGGCTACATTCTATGTTCCTTTGTTTCAGCACCAAGAACCTGGGTTTTATTTTCTTCTCCAATGAATGGCTGAAGTACCTCGGGTATTCAACCACGTCTCTCACTGGTTTCTCCATGGTCTGAACTAGGAACTCGTATTTGGGTCTCAGAACCTTATCAATGCTGTACCCCAGAAGCGGAGAGAACCTTCGGACCATGAACGCCACGTCTCTCTTAGATATTCCAATCTCCATCAAGTACTTCATCCTACCACCACAATCCCAAAGTTTCCATTACAACATTCCACAAGAGCAACCCAAAAAAAAAAAGGAACTTTCAGATGCAATCTTGGATATATCAGTGCAGAAGAGAGTAAGATGGGTTACCGAGGGAGTAAAGTTGAGTTGAAATCAGATACAAGGACCTCCGGGTACTTTTTTATGACTCGAGGAAGGTGCTCTTCATAAATGCCAATAGAAGCCAGAGATTTAATTTTTTTTCTGAGAGTGTTGTCAATGCTCGCAGCAAAAATCTCTGGACACCGACTGAGAAGCATTCCGACATCATCCTGGGTGAATCCAAGGTCCTTCAAAAATGTAACTCCCTACAAGTTGAAGCAGATTAACTAAGTGACATAAACCGTGAATCAAGTGGTTGATCTGTGACGCTAATGAAGATCAATCAAATTCAACCAGCAAAGAGTAATCATCAAAATGATAAGCTTCAATAGCTTAATCATACATACTTTGATGTTCATAATGATGAAGCAAAATATATCAGAGAACAGTAATACGAAATTTGAGTAGCTTTTTTTTTTCTTCTTTTCTTCTTCTTCTTCTATTTTTTATTTTTACCATAGAAGTTTGAGATGCTTTAATACATGACAAGTTTGAAGAAGGAAATTTGGACTGGACTCTGTAAAACAAGCACATAATGCAGCAGAGTGCCTGCATCTATGGGAAAAGAGGCATGCATATTGATAGAGTATACAAAGTTATAAAAAAAGGACAAGGGAAACGTTTATGTCATCCACCAAAAGAAGAATTTCGTCCTATAAAGAGCAATGCTTTAAGGGCATACTGTTTCCAAAACCGCCAAGGTTTGATATACGGATGTACTTTTTTAACTTTTAAAAAAGCAGCCTGTAAAAGGGATGCAGAGCTTTTGAAAGTGAAAAAACAACAGAAGCATAAAACATAATAGTTGACACAAAGTATAAGGCTTCATAAGTAGCAATCCAACTTACTTGGACAAACTCACTAGGTTTCCTTAGTAGTAGTTGAGGACTGGTTGCGATAACTTGACCCAACTTCTTGTCTCTAACACCCAAATCACCAAACTGTTCCACCATGACCTTCAGCTTTCCAGGTGAACATCCCAAGATGTGAGGCCAGCTTTGAATTGCTCTCTCCACACTCCCTCGCGGAACCTAACGGTACATAACATCTGCTTAGGTGTCAGACTGTCTATAACAGCTTTAGCAATGGGCAGGGTTCGCACTATAGGGATTGACTAAATTCAGTGCACATATAATAAATCAAGTTAAGATATAGGAACAAAGAACAGAACAAACAACTGAGTAAGGAACTCAGAAAATAAAGCTGGTAAGTGATGATACTACTTATATTAGTATTATGGGCAACATAAAAAGCAACGACTCTTGTCTAACAACATACCTTCTCCATATCAAAGAAGGAAAGGATCTCCCGGTAATTTTCTATCATGCCTGAAGAAAGAACCCATGGACATTTTACCAGTACTTTACCAATGCTCTTATCGACAGTTTCCACCTGAGAAGCAGAAAATGAATGAAACTCAAATTGCAGTGCAAGATGAAAGGCCACTAATATTCACATGGAGATAAAATTAACAAACACACAACTATTCTTGATCAATTTGTGTTTGCTTTTCTAAGGAAACAAACATAAACCATAGCCTTTTCAATGAAACAAACAATATGATGCCCTTCTCCTTGAAACAAACATCTGGAAATGAAATCGATTTATGGTACAGAATACTTACATTTCTAAAAGCTTTAACTCTGCTTCTAATGCCCTTGGCACCCCAAAGGATAGTTGGTGGGAACAGTAAGAATATGTTTCCCATACGGTTCGAGGAAATTCCAATACTTTCTAGAAATTGCACCATAGGCTTTAGGTGTGAATCTATTGGCAATGAGAGAATGCGAGGAAATGATTCAACCAAATACCGGAAAGAGGCATCTGAGAAACCCAACATATCCAGACCTCCACGCCTTGCTTCAATCTACTGCCACCAAAAAATTAGAAGATTTCAATGGAGAGATTCATGATTATGATGCATCGTGAAATAAGAACTAAGGAGAAGATGCCTTAAGCTTGAACTAAAGCAATTGCTATTGTCATTTCAGTAACAGTGTCAGACCTCACAGGCAGACATATACAAAGGCACAAACAAGAACAGCAGGAATGTACCTTTTCAAAGAAGGACAAAGTTTGCTGCAAATCTTCATCAATGGGAATTGATAAGTGCATCATCATTCGTCGAGCTTTCTTCCCAAAAAGTATTTTATCATCACTATTAGTAAAGAAAATATCCTTCATATACTTAACCTGAAAGCCAAATACCAAAAGTCAACACAGGCCGTGAATTTCTAAATTGTTAAGAGGGACAGAGAGAAAAGAATAACATGAGCTAAAGAAAAGTACATAGTTTCGACCAACATTAAATCAAACCTTATCAATTAACCCAGGAAGTGACTCTTTCGATAGGTACCGAGCAACATTCATTGCAGAGGACAAATTCAAGCCAATACTCTCCAAGAAGGCAACTTTCCCATTATCACCTTTCACCTTGGCCATATGAACGACCTTCTCCCTGAAACCTTTCAACTCCCCAAACTCCTCTCCCCCAGCATCACCACTCTTCCACGCACTCCATTCCTCCAAATCCCTCACACTATCCACCAACATATTAGCATACTTGGGGGCGTTGGAAGCAATGAACACAGAATCCTCAGGGGAAACACCAAACTCTTGTAGAAACAAAGAAAGTGCTTCCCGGGTTTCTTTAAGTTGCTCCAGATGTTGTTCTTCTTCTTGCTGGTGGGCAGGCGTGGACGACAGTGAAGATGAGTTGCTAGGGTTTTGACATTGGGGCGGGAAATGGTTCCTCAGGATTAAGCGTGAACGATGAAGATGGGAAGGAGGGTATTTGTAGGGATAAAGGAGTTGACGTTGCAGGAGAGGGCAGTATCGAGGGTTAATTAGAGGTTGGAATTGGTAAGCTGGGAAGGAGAGGGATTTGGCCATTAGATTCATATAAAAACAGTTTCAAGAGCGAGCCCCAATCATCTCAGAGACCTCCTCCAACTCTTGACTCTAAAAGGCCATAACATCCTTCAGAACCAACTCCATGAACTGGCCTCGTTGAATTTACAGAAAACTCACAAAACTCAACCCGCCGCTGTAAGTAATGAAAAACAGAAAACTGTTGAAGTTAGAGACAAAGACGAAGCTAACCAGCGAGCGAGCGCACTAAAATGGAAATGGAACTATGAAGGCCACTCGCGTCCAGTGCCTGAACTTATTCGAAGAAATGAATACAGTCTAATGAGAGATACCTGGAGTGAGTAAGTTGCAGAAAATCAAGAAGCAGAGGATGATGATAAAGGCCGGAAGTACCTGTTATGCGCACGGCTGGCGTCTGAAACTGAGAGCCGGAGCTTCCGGAGAGCAAGAAACCGGCCACTTAGACAAGGAGGCAAAAAGAGAGAAGAGGAGAGTGTGGAGATGGAGCTCAACCAGGAATTAGGGGTTTAAAGACAAGTTGCAGAGGGGGAGAACGAAGAAGAATTCGGAGGAGTGAAGTGGCTACTTCCCTCTCAGTTCACTTCGTCCACTTTATACCTTGTTTCGGGCCGGGCCTGAAAATTTCATATTGTTAGAAAGATAATGCAAGGGAAATTGGGCTGAAGCCCGCTCGGCATAAACAACAATTAAACAAAAGTAATTAAAATAGAGTCATACGCCGTCTGTGGGAATCGAACCCACGACCACGTGGTTAAAAGCCACGCGCTCTACCGGCTGAGCTAAGACGGCTAGTTGATAATTTTCCCAGCCGGTAGTTTAATTCCCCAACTAAAACAAGGTGCATAGGAGTTTACTGTTGCAGTCTATCCTGGTAACGGTTTAACGGGTGGGTCAGTGCTCCTGCTGGGACTCGATAGGTCGCCACACTGGTATGGCATTGTACCAAAACTCTGGTGTGCATCTGACATGGTTATTACACTGGTAGAATGCAAGCTAATTGAATCTGATATAACCAATGTCGGTCATGAAATCTGTTGAAATGTCGTACTTATGACTGTCATGCCCGCCCAATTTCCGACATCTAAAAACAAGAAACTATTTATCATATGGTTATATTGTTGGAGGGTTTGCAATGATGCACCCCCTAGATGAGAGAAAACACAAGGTGCAACACACGAATTTTCAAATCGTTCTGATTTAACAGGATTCCAATGTATGAATGTCTTCTGCAACCAACAAACAGAGGTCTAAACATGATTCTACACGCGTGCATTTTCATCCGTCCAATCAAAACTCATTCAGATGTGACATTATCAACTCTCTCAACACCAGGAAATCTCTTTCGTTCAGAAAAGTTGGGGAAAAACTCAAAAACAACCTAGGGCTCTCTCCTCATTATCAAACATCCAACCTTCCTACCATCACCACCCCATCACAAGGGTTCACTGTCCCATTCATCCATCATAGTCACCTTCATGGAACCTGTTTTCTGCATAAAAGATGGCCACCACTTGATTCCCACCAAATTTCCTGCCGTTCATACCAGCTCGAGCTTTCGTAGCACCATCAATGTCTGCATACTCCAGGAAGACCTGCAAAATCGCAGAAAATTGTAAATCCAGCTTTAGGAGGGACACATCTTCCAGAGAACTTTTCTCAAAGAGGAATAAGGGACGCCCACACTTACCTTGCCAACTCCAGGCGAAGGAGCACCATCAGGACTTGGTCTGGGGATGACTACATTCAGCAAATTACCTGTGTATTATTTTGTCAACATACATATAGCCGGTCGTCAGTTTTCAGGAAAAAGAAACAAAAGGAATAAAACAAATCTCAAGTGAATAATAATTTGGAGGTATTATCAAGTCTTCAGTCTGTATGTTAAGGCCTGATTCTTTATAGCAGAATGTGGGACTACAAATGGCTGTAAAAAAACAGACATACAAAACAAAGAGAGCAACCAAATTAAGTACACCGAGCTCCAGGTTTCGGAGGAAAACAAAAGCTAGTTGAAGAAATTTACCAAATTTCCCGCCTTCTATTCTCATGTCCTCCAAGATGTCTTCATACTCTTGATCATCTTTCAGCTCATCCTCCGTGACAACTTGAGTTAAGCAGACAACTTTAGTAGCTGCCGGCTGCAGCATGAGTCTCTGCAAGATGGAAGGTTCCAATAAGCAACCCTTCCAAACACAGCAAACTGTAACATACATCTTAAGAGAGCAAATTAAAGCTTAAGAAAAGAAACAAAGTAAGAGAAAACAATGTCTGAAGTTTTAAATATTAACCTGCAAAGCAATCTGCTGTTTGGCGTGCATTAGTATACTCTCTTGCTCAGGTTTAGGCTGATTCGCACCCTGGTTGGCGCGCCTAACAGTTAGTGTTTTATCGCCCATCTTAATTCCATTCAGAGCAGCACATGCAATGTCTGTCACTGAAACATCTTGATACACACAAAATGCATAACCCTTTGAGTTTCCAGTTTCTCTATCTTTTACCAAATCAAATCCCCGGAGCGACCCAAAAGACTCCAACAACTCCCTAACTTGGGCCTCCGTGAAGTAATAGGGAAGTCCTCCCACAAATATGCGGTCTGGACCCTCAAGTCCACCAGCAGAACCTGGGGTTAGACCCACTGCACCCAAGTTCAGGTTGGCATTTGGTTGACTAGGGCCAAGTGTTGCTGCTAGAGATGGATTGTAATCAGTTGGCCTCCTCACCTTCACAGGAGCTCCCTAAAAGGAAATACACAAAAAAAAAAAAAACTTTCAAAATACACTACATACGAATAGTTACTACCCCAACTGAAAGCAATTAAGACATGAACAACTCACCTCAAACATAATACCATCCAGAGCCATTGCATTACTTGCCTCTTCGACAGATCTCATCTCCACAAAGGCAAACTTCTTGTCGTGGTTTATATACACGTTTACAACAGCATCACCTAAAACGGAAAAAGTAAAACAACTAAGACCAGGAAGTTAATCAATAGAGCACATCTAACTGCACCATTATAAAGAGTTCTGCCATACCTGGGCCAGCTGTGTTTCCTCCAATGGCTGCCATGACTTGATTAAAATATGTTGCAACAGACTGCAGTAAAATACAGTTTGTCATTCACAAATTACATGCAACAACCAGAAGGAAAGCAGACAAAAGTGTTCATACCTGCTCATTAGCTGAAGGAGGAAGCCCTCCAACGTATACACGCCGTGCATGCCTGGTAGCCTGATACCAAGTAGCACGTTAAGATTAACAATGCAAACGATGGGGATTAAGTAATTATTTGGACAAATGGGGCCCCACAAACCTGCTGTGTCATTGCCTGAACTGGCATTACAGGAAGTGTTCCAAATGTCTGCACGTGAACACGTCAGGAAAGTAATGCATCTTGAGAGTAAAAAAAAGAGATATGACACAGAGTATCATAAGCAGCATACCTGACCAGCTGTAAGCGGAAACATGTTGGGAAACATTCCAGCAAGGGCAGGATTGGCCCCTGGAATCTGGCCTGTATAAGAATAAGAAATTGAATAAAATGAGAAAACTTTGATGACAATGGCTACCATACATTGTGTTTGAGATCCTGCAAATGACTAAGGCTGCAAAATACTCTAGTATAACCAGTAAGTCATAAATGCATCGTTTATTCAAGTTCTGGAGGATATATACGCAAGCTACCAAAACACGCATTAGTCGCCAGTTGAAGACGAACAAGAACCATCAAACTGGTGCAGTGGTTCCTCCTTCAACATAAAAGCTACAGTAGTCGGCTCACACCCATTGTCAACACAGTGGGACAAGTAGCCCGACACTGCCTTCGTACAACAAGAGACAAGACACAAGAAAAAAACAAACAAACACCAAACACAAGAAAAAACCAAAAAAAATCTCAGTTCCAGAATTATTTCACCAAGTAAGCATTAGTAATAATAGGGACCATTTAAAACCACAGGTTTAAAGAGCTACACGTACAAATAAGGGGAATCTTACCAAGTGAGAGCAAGAAATTGCATACGCACTTTCCACACTATATCAAACCAAAACAGAAGTAGCAGTTAAGAAAACATGACAATTTTCAATTCGCCCAAAGGTAACATACCTGCAGCAGTAGGGATAGGCAGCATTGCAGGCGCTGCAGGAGCCATATCAAAGCCACTACGTCTTTTGCTGCAATAAGGAACAGTTAGTACAGATCAACAGCTAAAAACTGTAATAGGTCACCACTTTTCATATCCAAAAATCTTTTGATCTTTATTTTATTGGACGATTTCTCATACCTCTTAGAACGTGATCGAGAGCGTGACCTTGACCGGTGTTCGGATCTACCCTTTGAAGGAGATCGACCCCTGGAATGAGAACGCGAGCTGCGTATGCGTCTCTCTTCTCTGTCCCTATCATGATCTCTATGCCTGTAGTAGGCATAAACAATTTATTATGCAAATTAACAGTATAATAATAAAAACTAATATTTGGAACAGCAACCACGACTATCTTTCTTATACCTATCATAATCCCGGCTTTGAGGGCGGTCATCATCGCCATCTCTATCTCTACCTCGCTCCCTTCGTTCACTGCGATCCCTGTGTCGATCTCTGTCTCTATCTCTATCACGGTGATGACGGTCATGATCCCTATCTCGGTCCTTCTCCCTATCTCGGTCCTTCTCCCTATCTCTGTCTCTGCTTTTCTCTCTATCCCTGTCCCTTTCACGGTCTCGGTCCCTCTCTTTGCCGCGCCTTCTTTCTCTTTCCTTTTCCCTACTCTTTGATGATTCTCTTTTGACGTCTCGAGATTCATGCTGCGGCCCATAAACACAATGCATAAGCATAAGATTACAGAAAGAAAGTTTGAGAGATAAAGCAACCACTGGTCAAAATTTACTACAAACAGCACAGTAGTCTAGTTGGCATCCAAATTAACATTATTATATGATCAATAAAGTCACCTTTAGGCTTTAACAAAGGCATCGATACCTGAACTACACCAAGCAAACAGTAGTTGCAATGCGAACCAAGTTAACCATCAACCCAGTTCAAGAATTCATTCACTGGAATATCTTCTAACCCTAAACTTCCCCCTACCAATGTCCCTGAAGGTCTTCAAAGAAAGCAAGAGAGCATATTATAATTTCGGTTTTGAAGAATCAATCTCTTATCTCTTAATTAAAGAACACAGTTAAAAATCCAATATAAACTATAGCCAAATCGAGATAGAAAATAGCCATGAAATTGAACAGAAAGATTCTCGAATCAACACAGAGAATATAGACATGATCATGAAGAACCAAAACCCACTTCCATTAAAACAAATTATTCTCAACCTGTTGGAACAATAATTTACGGTATAGATTCGCAAAAAATCATTACTAACGACCCACCGAAACCTAGTTTCCCATTTCACCATAAAGAAAACCCTAATTTAGTCGCTACGCGCTGCGGACATGATCAACAGCGGTCTTCAATCGAACATACAACATCCACCCAAACCTCTCACGGAAAGCCCTAATCTCAAATCACCTAGACGTATGACAGCAAAAGAGTGCGAGTACCTGAGATCTAGAATCGCCATAGTCATCCGCAGCGTCGTGGCCACTGCCTCGCGCCTGAGGGGAAGCAACTCCAGCTGCGGCGTCATCAGCTGCCGCGTAGTGGCCGTCGCCGCCGTTGCTGTTGATATTGTTGTTAAAATCGTCGGCTTCGTACCTGCCTCCTTCGTAGTCCGTCATGATTTCGAAGATGAGGAATCTTTGGCAGCCTGATCACTAAATGCTACAATCTCTGGCTCCTGCACTTCGTCTCCGCCTCCGTGTAGCGGCGATGGCCTTGAGGGAAAGACGATCGCGCTTCTAAGTTGAGAAGAGTTATTGTGGTGGTGCCGCAGCCGCTCCTCCGTCCAAACTCCAATCCTTTCTGTTATACGGCAGCGTGAGGAGATGAGATTAGATTATATGAGATGAGATGGTCAATTACTCGCGTGACCTAGGGGCTAGGGTCGTCGACACCCGACCCGTCTCTTAGCCCGAATTTCCGGAGCTCCAGCCTCCAAGAGATGTAAAACTGTAAAAGTAAGTGTAATTAGCATAATTGGTCACAAATATTTGCATACAGTCATAAATTTTTAATTTGTAACAGTATGGTAACAAAAGTTTGTAATTAGAACAAAATAGTCACAAATTAAATAACGTGACTATTCCATACAAGTTTAACTTGTTGCTATCATGTCGTTACAAATTAAACTTTTGGTGATTGTTTTGTACAACTTTCAAAGATTTGAACGATTAATCACAATTCACTTCAGTCGAGGTATGATGGTTTTGTTAATTTATGTGAATGATATGATCGTAACAAAGGATGTAAGTGAGGGAATTCAATGTCTCACAAACGAGTTACGGGCTGTTTTTTAGTTGAAAAAACTCGGCCAACTTTTTTTATTATTATTGAAATTGAAAGGTAAACAGTTGGCATTCTTATTCGGCAAAGCAAGTATATCGATGAACATACGACCCCACATCTCATATGTTGTTCAAGTGGTTAGTGTCATATACTTGACGAACACACGGTCCAACCTCAAAATGGTCACAAACTTTTAATTTGTCACAACTCAGTAACAAACCTTTGCAATTAATACAAAACAGTCATAAATTAAACAAGAGTGACCATTTCATATAATTTCAAACTTTTGTTACCGTATCCTTATAAATTAATTAAAGAATTGTAACCGTTTTGTACTAAGTGCAAAGTTTTGTGACCGTCTATATTAATTATCCGTAAGAGCAAAACACTAATTGCGCTAAAGAAATAAGATAATATCACTTGATACTAGTATCTGCGGGCAGAACTTGTTGAGGAGCCGGCTTGTAAGTTAATAATATTAAGAATTAAGAAAAAGTGTGTTAATAAATGTAAACACAGTTAAAAAGAAGGGTGAAAACAATCACAAGTGATGGTTAGAGACTAAACTAAAATGTTGAAAGGAGAAGTATTTGATTCTTCAACTCAAAAATTGACCAAGTGAATGAACGATCTAAAATAACATATATAATAGCCACAAGTGATAAAAAGTGACCGAGAGGGATAAATATAGATGGAATGCTTCAATGCCATCAATCCAAGGGTATAGGTTCCCCGATAAATCGGATAGTCCCACAAATAACTTAACTATTTGTGTTGCATATCTTCTTAATTAGAGGCAGATTGTTGAGATTGCAATTTGCAACAACCCATGGTATAAGAAGACGTGTTTCACAGATCAGGTAATTTCATATATAGTATTGGAGTGAGATTGTTGAGCAGTTGAGCATTGACAATGTTGTTGCAGAGAAACTGAGCCCTTTCATTTTCCCCACAATATTCCATGCGTACCAATAAAAAAAAGTTATATTCCATATAGCTCGACGACAGTAGAGCTAGCAATGTGGGAGGCCTAGAAAACATCGCAAAATCTTGTAGTTTTCATTGAAGTTCTTCGTTTTACATAACGAATGCGAGACATTACATGTAAATAAATCGAAAAAAAGCTATCCATCTAGAGAGTTGGACTTAATTTAGTCGATCAATAGATTTCCTTTTCACGAGGACTTTCTTCAATACTGTACAAAACCCCACATTTTTATGTACATGAAGAGGCAAACCCTCTGTGTCTAGATAGCTAGCCAGACTAAATGAAATTATGTACGCAACAATATAGTTGATCACTTGCTTCATGCTCCTTTTAACGCTGATCCTTTCTTCCCATTTCATGGATCATCTTCTTTTGCACAAAAATTAAAAAAAAAAGAGTATCAAACAAAAGGATCGAGGAAAAAAAAGTGGCTAATAAACTAAAAGAAACATGGGACGACGTTCATTACTTCATTTAAATGTTTATAGTAATTTTTTTATACTAACATGCCACATTAGTTAGGTACGTTTATGATAATTAATACCTGCGTCTTCTTCTGGTTCGACTTGATCCGACGATGCAGCCGATGGGTTCTTCGACGAGAACCCAGAACTCAAGACTTGAGGATCACTCATCACATCCTGCATGTGTTACGCGATGATCACAAAGCACAATAAGGTTTACGTCAAAATTTATTTGCATCTCTTACACTATAGACTTACCTGTGCTGCCGAGGCTATTGAAGCCGTGTTATAATTAGGTGGAGAAGGGTAATTAGCGCCACTCATGAAAAACATGTAACCCATTTTCTCCTCGGCGAACTCCCTCAGCTCATTGAGCACGGGCAGCACGACCTTGCCCAGGTCGGGCCGATCCTTCCGCCTCAGCTCCGCACACTGAAGCGCGTACTTAGCGAACATCAAAGTCTCCTCCATCGGCCAGTCCTTCACCTCCTTGTCCAGAACCGACCCCAGCGCGTCGTTCTCCAGCGCCGTCTCGACCTGATGTGACAGCCCCATGGGCGGCCGGGCGGTGATGAGCTGGAGCAGGATTATCCCGAGCGAGTACACGTCGGACTTCACCCCTAGCATCCCGGTCTGCTGGTACTCCGGGTCGATGTAGCAGAACGTCCCCGCGGCCGAGGTCATGTGGTACTGCGTCACGTTCTCGACCATCGCGGGGACGAGCCTGGCCAGGCCCACGTCGCTGATCTTGCTGACGTAATTGATGTCTAGTAAGATATTGTCCGGTTTGAGGTCGCGGTGGACCAGCGGCTCCGGCTTGGTCTGGTGGAGGAAGAGCAGGCCCGTGGCGATCTCGGCCGCGATTTTGAACCTCAGCTGCCAGGAGAGCGGCGGGGTGTTGTTCCGTTTCCGGAACAGACAGTCGTCCAGGCTGCCTCTAGCCATGTGCTCGTAGACCAGGATTCCGTACTCGGGACATGCTCCGAGGAGAAGGACCATGTTTGGATGTCGGATCATGCTTAACACCTCGACCTCTCTTTGGAACTGGGATCTGCCCTGGACGGCGTCCGGGCGGAGGACTTTGACGGCGACCGGGGTGTGGTCGAGGTAGCACTTGAAAACTGGGCCGTAGCCGCCCTCGCCGATCTTTTTGGACTCGTGGAAGTTGTCGGTGGCCCTTTCGATGTCTTCGATCGAGTAGCGGCGGTATCGGATGTCGGATTTGGCTAGGGAGGTCATTGCTTTCTTCAGCTCGTCGGCTTCTTGGAGGGTTCGCAGTTCTACGGACATTCGCTTGTGGGCTTCCATCTCCGCTACTTTCTGAGCTGCCTCGGCCGACTCCATTGCTGCTTTGCACCGGGCTCTCTCTTGCTCTACGGTTGTTAGGGCTGCTTCTTCGGAGGTTTTTGCTTCTTCCAATTTTTGCTCTTCTTCGTTTCTCCAACGTTGCATCTCCACGGCCTATATGCATGTAGACGAGGGGGAAAACGATAGAATAAATAAACATATGATGGGAAAAATTAAGGTTGTAAATCCGCGAGTTGACCCACTTTGACCATAATTCAGTGAAAAAAACGGATCGCACGCACATGTTGGGTTGATCGCTACAAGGTACTGGGTTGGAGGTCAAATTGTGTCATTTTGCGAAATGCGCATATTTTTACCGATTTTTCTTTTCGCCTAACTCAATCTTTGGAATCCTTAGTTGAACATTTGAATATTGATGTTATATAAGTGTGTGTGAATTTTCACTATATCTTGGATCTAAATACGACATGTTAATTTGGGCAATGTTATATGTTATTACTCATATGTTAGATGAGATTTGACATAATTTATCAGGATAAGTACAATATAATGACTCTTTTTCATATTTCCAGGCTAAAACGGGTGACCCGTTAACCCTTGACCTACTAACTCGACCGGGTCCGAATCAACCCACGGGTTGACAACCTTGGGGAAAACTATGAAATGAAAAAAAAACCAATTTGATGTTTTACCCTTTGTTTAGCTGCAACAGCTTCTTTGCAGGCTGTATTGTAAAGTTCCATGGTTTGCTTCAACTCCAACCTTAGTCTCTTCATCTCAGCTTCCATTTCATCTTGCTGAATCAGTAAAAAAGACCGGTTGGCGGCATGATGTTAACGAAACACACACTTTTATTTCACACACATGCATGTCTGAAACGAAATAGGTTAATTACCACGATTTGAGATGATGAAACCGAGGATGTTCGACCACTGTCTTGGGAAACAAAGGAGAACTCTTGCATGGAAGTCAAGTCAACAAACTTGTTTGTAGAGAGAATGGAGCCGAAGGTGCTGCTGTTGTCTGAGCTGGTAGAGATTCTAGGGTTGGAGAAGGATGATGATTCAAAGGGATCTAAAGCAACTGAAGAAGCTCTGTCGGTGCTTGGTCTCCCAGAGGAGCAAATAAACGACATGTCGGGAGTATTGCTTTCTGTTTCCAACATTTCCGCAAATGATCTTGCATTCATTGCTCGTCCTCCTCTCGTTAATGGTGACCTTTTGTACATAATATATATATTCATACATGTTAATTAGAAATAAGAAGAATAATAATTAAAGGATATAAATTATCTTTTGATCTAAAATCAATCTTCACCTGAAAGATTCGTCGACAGAGATTCGAGGTTTTACTTGTGTCCGTTCTGGAGATATGCAAATCAATGTTAAGCCATCGAGTTAGATTTTTTTTTTTTTGTTTCTTATGAATTATCAATGGTTGATCACAAGATATTAATTGATCATGAAACGTTTGTACCTCGTAGACTTGTGCATCTGGAGGATGATATTTCAGATGCATGATCGTCATCATGAGCAAAAGTGTTATTATTGTTCTGTTGTTGTATTTCATCTAGTAAAGGAGATACATATGGTGCTGGACGAGTCGCATGGGATATTGTAGATGTCTTGCTCGTTTTTGAAATCACATAAACGGTGCAAAAGTCTGGAGCACCTTTCACTACAACACTGGGTACATCTGGCTTGAATTTCCTGTATGTTCATACAAACCCGTATGGTTTAGAAGAATAAAATTAAATAATACCTCTTACTTGACAATCATTTAATATTATTTTTTTCATGTGTCTATTGCTTGGAAGCTATTCATGCATGCATGTATGCATGCTAACCTCAGTATTCCATGGCGAGTCGGGGCACCTAAAACCAATCTCTCTATCGCAGCATAGGAAACATATTCTGTCAACGCTTTCGCGATATCATTGTCTTCAAGTATAACATCGTAGCATTGTACCTGAGCATATTTATCGTAACGATTTTTGTATGATCATATAACTATATATTATCATGAAATTTCAAATAACAAAAAAAAAAATGACGATGATTCGTACGTCTTTACGGGTACAATAACAATGAAATGTAAGGAAGAGGTCCTTGGTCAATCTCTCGAGATGTGACCTTCCTGTTGCCAATGGCTCCGAATGCAATCCTTGACCTGCATTAAAAAAACATACAAACAACATTACACATTGGTCGTCGCAAAAAATAATGTATGTTGCAATGATCATAATGCATCATTTTCGTGAAATTTGAGTTTCTCTATTGAGAGAGAAAAAAAAAAGAAGGATTACGAACTTGCACTAATGGAGGAAGCTCTTTGAAAAACATGGATGAGGATGAGGGGTTGGCCTTTGCTGTGAAGCTTCTCAATTGCCCATTTCAAAGCAATTTGACTTGTTTTATCATTGTCAATGGCAACCGCTACCAATCCATTTCCTCCTCCATTTCCCCCTCTCTTTGTGGAATTTCCTTTCCCAAGCCACATTTCTTTTCTCTCTTCTTTTTACCACCCTCTCTTTGAAAAGTGAATCAAAAAAAAAATATTAAGGGTTAGAGAAAAAGAAGAGTGAAAACACAAAAGGCCTCTCTTCCCTTGACAATCACCTAGAAGAAGACAATGATGTTTTGTTTTGTCCTTTTGGTTCCCTAAGGAGAAAAGATGGAAAGGGGGAAAAAAAAAGAATTAAAGCCTTAGCTCTATTTCTATATTTAGGCCTTCAAACGTACTTGATGGAAACCTCAAACCTAGCTACTTTTTTAAATCACTCATTTTTTGCATAACAAAAAATCCCTATATTTTCTCCTTCAAAATTTGTATGCTCTATGTTGGTCAACCATTGACCATCCAAAGTACTTGCACACCCACAGATTTAATAACATTTTGTGCTCTTATATTATGCGAGGTTAACAAATGTATCTCCATATTAATTTTAAAAATATTTTATGACATGCTATGAAAAATTATCTAACATGCATTTATTTGTAGCATATTTTACTAACAATGGAGTTGTTGTACCCAGACATGCATGTCACAAGTCCATCGTCGATCTCATTTTTCCACGTGTGCACCATCGAGTTTAACTCTCTCGGCATTACATAAACTGCATCTTGTTTTACTCCTTCCATGAATATTGTGCTTACGAATATTAGCACTTTTGTAAACCTTCATATAATTTGAACCAAACAGTATATATAATTTCTAGTAGCTAGTTGTCAGGAGCAATTTATCATCTTCACCTTTAGAGCATTGAAATCCTCCTTGCTAGTTTGGAGCTCTACAATAATCACTAATTGAATTTCTAGAGAGACAATCCAATTGTGTGGGTTTTAACATGCATCGCATGTATATTTTCTTTCCCGAAGTGTCAAATGGGAGCAAAAGGTGTTGTTGACTTCCTTCATCTATATTCTATAGCGCAACCAAACTTTGGTGGAAACGACTTTCAATTATCCAAACCTCTTTTGAGAACGAGAGGAATTTTGTGCGGAGTACTTCTCTACACGTTTTAGATCAACACAGAGTCAAAGAGCGAGTCATGAGATGATACTCTTTTCTCACTACAACAAAGCTCATATATAGCGGCTAAGAGAATTTGATTCTATAAGCCTATTATTTGCCTCTATATATATTTAGAGGCAGATAATACATTTGCCTCAAATACTCTAGCGGCTATAGCCCTATAGAAGCAAATATAGCGGCATATATTATCTGTTGTTGTTTAAGGATTTTGTGACTAATATATTAGCCGCTAATGTCATTTTCATTTTGCCTTTATATCCAATATTAGAAGCTTAAGTATTTGCCTCTAAAATGATCTTTAGTAGCTATTAAACTTGACTCCAAAAGTATCTATAGAGGCATATATTTTTGTTTCTAAAAATAGTTAATGAGGCAATTAAATTTATCTCCAATATTATTTATAGAGGCAAATAATTTTGCTTGTGAAATTAATTTTTAGAGGCCAATAAATATGCTTTTGTTTGATATATTGAATTGATTTATTGTAAAATAAATTGATTTATAAAGATGAATATATTGTACAACATTCAATATTTTCATTAATATGATACTGGAACAATATAGTGTCGAGTGTACATCGTAAGTAGGGATGACAATGGGTCCAGAACAGGTCGGGTACTATGGTACAAGAATTTGCAATAGCCTCACACATCAACGATCCACTTGACAACCTCTTACAACTCAAATCCAAGAGAGTATCAAATTGTTCAAGTGAAAAGAAGCAAAAACAGAAACTGCTTCAATTACATAATCACTGTTACAATCTCAAAACTTCAGTTCCTTGAGACTTAAAATCTTCAATCGTTATTATCGTCATTGTTGTAGCTTCCATTTACGGGATGAATTTGAATTCCAACTACAACTCGCATATTTGTAGGTTGTCATCCAAAGCATATAGTCCAGTTTCTCCACAAATGGATTGTTCCAACCTTCGGATCTGCATCTATTATATTGTTGCAAGATTTGCATTTGGAAGCTTTCTTATGGCCAATTTGGATTTTTTTTTCAAAATGAGACCAAACTGGAGATTGAACTCTCCGTACAGATCCACCTTCTTCCATTGCTGCAACTAAAACGTGCAAATACAAATCATTCAAGCAATAGATGGGTGATAGATAGAGTTGGAAAAACGAATACAATGAAATCTACAATGAAAATCACAATCTAAAGAAGAACTGGACAACAATAGAACAAGATTTGATTAAGATATTTACATGCGATCAAATACAAAAACAAGCAAGAAATTTTATACCTTTTCATTATCTGCAAACGAGGGCTTGGCGATTGGCATGATGGGAAAAGAAAGAGATGCGATGGGAGATAGGCTGGGATTTTATTCATGTCCTGCATCTCGTCTATCATCTACCTATATATGAGAATTGAAAACGAGACTGAAGTTATGGAGATGGAGAAGAAGAAAATCGAAAGACCTATAATTGGGAGTCGAGAATTGGAACAATGAGAATCAAGGTAATAGAAACTGAGAGGGAGTTGAAGATGTTTATGGGAAGGTAAGAAGAAGATGGAAGTCGGAGTTGTCCTTTCAATTAAAGCGGGATGAGAGCTTGGGAATCAAAAAGAGGGAAGTTGATTTGGTGGTCTCGGGGGAATATGCTCATCGCAATCTTCACCTCAATTAAAGAGCGTGAGACGTTGGGAATCAAAAAGAAAAGAAGGGGTTTTGGTGGTCTTGGGTAATGGGGAAAGTTGTGGGAGGCGAGACACACATGCAGGAGGTAGAAAATTAAGTGGTGTGGTGGGGAGTCTGAGGACGGTGGTCGGTAGAAATAGGAAATAAATAAATATAATACTACGGGCCGGGTCGGGTTGGGTGGGTTTTCATTTCAAATTGTCCCACCCGCTTACTAGCGAGTTGGAATAATTGTGACCCGCAATCCACCCACATTCTTCTGCGAGTCGAGTTGGGTGGATGGCGGATGAGTGTGTTTGGGTTGTGGGTTATTAGTTTTATATTAGTTAAATCGAGAATACAAATAGAGGCAGAATTTATATTTGTTGTATATAGACAATTTATAGAGGCAAATTATATATTTGTAGTGTATCTCATACTTTTAGAGGCATATAGTTGTATCTATTGAGGTCAATTATATATTTGTAATATATCTCATACTTTTAGAGGCACCTAATGGAACCTATTGAGGCAAATTATATATTTGTAGTATATCTCATACTTTTAGAGGCATATAATTGAAACTATTGCGGCAAATTATATATATGTTGCATATAATATCCTTTTAGAGGCAAATACCATATTTGCCTCAACAATTAGCCGCTATATGTGGGTTTTGTTGTAGTGTCTACGATTCTCCAAGTTGGCTCGCTTCGATATTATAGGGATATGAGTTCGAGATGTTGGCTTGGGAATCGTTTTGTTTGATGATCCAAAGGGCACCTGGACGCGGGAGCATCTATGGGCGGGTTGAAGGAGAAGATATACAGTATGAGATTCACATGTTTTATATATCCTCCAACCTATGTTCTCAGACTTGCAAGAAAGAAGGACGACTACAAAAAAAAAAAAGTACATATAGCAATAATTCCAGTGGAACAGCATGGGGCTCTCCTAGTCGCAACATAGTTTTTTTTTTTTTTTGCTTCTTCACCACTTGTATTGTCGTCTCGAAATCCAACATGTACTATAATATTTTGCGAGAGGAGATGATGTTGTTCACAAGGGTTGTGCTACAACTGCGACGAACTCTTCACCATTGGTCATCATCATCATGCAACGATATAGAATTCGAAGTATATATATAGTACTATTGCGGGTGCGATTATGGAAGTAGCATCTCAACCCCAAAGACACAAAGGATGTACAAACATATATATATATGACGAGAAAGGAAGACAATCCAAATGAGTAAATCTTTTTTGTTCTTTCATTTCTCTTTCATAAGTTTTTCCCCCCTCCTAATTAAAACCCCTCCCAAGTTCCAAATCCCCAACAGAAGATCACACAAACATTTTTTTCTATTCACTAAATCCCTCCACCATGCATCTTCTTGTTTCCCTTAACCCCATTTTGCTATAAAAACATCTTCTTATCCCCCTCAAGCCAACTCTCCCCATATTTTTCAATCAATTCTCTCTCTCTCTCTCTCTCTTTAGACACCACCATCTACATACTGCTCAATCCTCTCAACCGCCTCCTTGACACCAACCCTCCTCTCCAAATCCTCCTCGCAACAGCTCAACGCCAGCTGCAGCAGGTGGATCATCTGGCTCTTGCTGTCCTTGTTCGTCCCGGCCATGTCCCTGTCGAAAACCTCCCCCGTCTTCTTCTCCTTCACCATGTCGTTCACCCACGTCCCGAGGTCGGCCTTGCCGTCGTAACCCTGAGTCAGGTAGTTCTCGGGGTACTTCCCCGTCAGGATCTCCAGCACCACGATCCCGAGGCTCCACACGTCGGTCCTGTTCGACGTCTTGCCGTGCTGCGCGTACTCCGGGGACTTGTAGGCGATCATGAGCTTGTGGGCGTGGTCGGCGTTGACCACGGGGCGGAGGGCGTAGTCGGTGAGCATGGGCTCGAAGGCGTCGGAGAGGAGGACGTTGGAGGATTTCAGGTGGCCGTGCGGCAGGGTGAGGGGGAGCTCCTCGTAGAGGTAGGCGAGACCTTTTGCGATTCCTCGGATGATTTTGACTCGCGTCGGCCAGTCGAGGCCTTGCCCCGACGAGTGTTTCCCTACGTGTACATATTGTGATACGAAACATGAAAGATATAACATTAGTAATTAAAAAAAAAAATTGAACTAGTTGATTAGTGTGTAGTTCATCATCATGGTCAGAGATTTCGCATCGCGAGATTCTTCACAACAACTGTTAGTTAGATGTGTATGTGACGATAATTTCGTAACTGATCATATGCACTTTCGAGATCGTCTACTGGTTCAGAATTATGAGATATGCACGATCCACCGGTGTCCATATATAAGCGTGACACGACAAAAAAACATTTAGTTTATGAGTAAAATTTTATCAAAGGATTTTTTTTTCTTCCAGTGATGTGACAATTTGGTTAGTGCGTTGACGATTAGTCTAGGGTTAAGATTTTTTTTCCTAAAATCCAACAACATCAAGTTAGCAGTGGCATATATTTGGATCATGAATGCATCAATGTACGTTACGAACACATTTTATATATGTATGCATGGGTCAGATTGACTAATATTACTTGTGAGATACCTCCATCATATCATAAACGAAGTACATTCAACATCCGTTGAAATATGGTATGATTTGCTATTAAATTATCAAACAAAACAAAAAAAATGTAATTAAGAAGGTTATTATTGTGACACATACCATGAAGGTGGCTAGCCAAGCTCCCATGCTCCACAAACTTGGACACCAAAAGCTTCTCCTCCTTCCTATAATAATAAGCCTCGACGGGCAACAAATTGGGATGCTTCAACCTCCCAACCCTCCTCATATGCTCATGAAACTCCTCCCTCCCAACGTTGTTCATGTGCCGGTACCTCTTCACCACCATCGCCTGCCCGACCACTCCGGCCTTGTACGACGCCCCGAACGTCCCGCTCCCCAGCACCTCCGCCGACGCCCGCAACAAGTCCTGCAAATCGAACCTCTCCACGTCGTCCCGGAGGAACAGCAGCCGGTTGCTGTTGTTATTGTTCGCCTGCTGCTCCGCCCTCTTGGCGGAGGCGGTGCTGAGGTGGGAGGCCTCCCGCTGGACGAACCTGACGGCCGGCGGGGTTGTGAGGGTGACTTTGGTGGCGGTGACGGAGGAGGGGTTTCGGGTGAGCGGGTTGTCGGAGTGGTGTGTGCGGCGGCGGCGGCGGTGGTGGAGGAGGATGAGGCAGAGGATGGTGGCGATGAGGATGATGACGAGGATTAGGAGGCCGATGATGATCTCGAGGGTTAGGTTTGTGAGCTTGGCCTCGGCCGCGGGGAGGAAGGAGAAGGGCGGCGGCGGCGGTGGGAGGGACGGTGGTGGGGCGGCGCATGGCTGGAGTGGGGCCCCGCACAGACCTTTGTTCCCTGAAATTGTATCAAGAGAAAATGGTAATTAAGGATGATAACAAAACTCGAATTAATGAGTCTTTACTAGCTAAACACAATGTTGAATCAACAGACTGAAACTCGAAGTTAACGAGTTTCAAACTGGACGAGAACAAAACCCCATTTTTGGTTCAATAGTTGAGTGATCATCAAAAGAACTTTTCTTTGTATGTAGTTGTTAGCTCCAAAGTGCAATTGTAACCAAAATGTGGTGGTCACGTATTTTCATCTCACTTCACTAGGTAAATCATTCAAATTATAAGGACAGACAACAAAATCCGAATCAATCGGTCTCCAACTAAATCCATTTTATAATAAACAAATTCAAAACTCAGACGTTAACGAGTTTCGGATTGTGTAAGGATAAAACCCATTTTTGTTCAAAGATTTTTATTAGATAGTTGTTGTGAGGATTTACCTAAGGTGTTACAGTTGTAGACTCCAAAGTTCACATACAACGAAAATTCGACAAACAAATTTTTTTTCTAATCCTTGGTAAACCCTTAAAATCGTAGAGAAATAAATCATTTTAAGGACGTTTAATACTAGCAATTCATAACCTCGAGATATCAATTCATCAGTTCCAAATTAACAACAACAAAAAAAAAAGTTGTAGCTTTACGTGTAATATATACCTGAGAAGGAGTTAGGGTTCATGTGGCTAAGACTCTTAGGAATTGGACCTTCCAGCTCATTATTCGCCACATTCACCGCCCGCAGAAACTTCTGCTGGAAATCCGGAATCCGTCCCTCAAACTGATTCCCGTCGAGCCTCACCATCGTCAGCTTCGGCAGCACCGCGATCGACGCCGGTATCCTCCCGGTAAAATCATTGTTCGCCAGGTGCAACGTCTTCAGCGACCCCATCCCGTCGAACGCCCCCGCCGGAATCTCGCCGGAGAAATAGTTGTTCGACAGGAACAGCGTCTTGAGCTTCCCGAGCTTCTTCACCTCGGGGAGCGGGCCGTCGAGCCGGTTGTCCATGAGGCTGAGCGTCCGGATGTTGTTGATGGCCGCCAGGGCGTCGACGTCGACGACGCCGGAGAGCTGCATGTGCTCGAGCTGTAGGCCCCAGACGGCGCCGGCCGAGCAGAGGACGCCGGCCCAGTTGGACCGGTCGTTGTTGCATGGGTCCACCGCCGGGTCCCACGTGCCGAGGGCGTCGTTGTCGCCTAGGCCGGCTTTGAATTTGAGGAGGGCGTCGGATTGCGGGGAGGCTGCCGTCGCTAGAAATGTCGTCGCTAAAGATAAGAGGAATAAAAACGCCGTCGTTTTGATGTCGCGCGCATGCCCGGCTACGTGCGCGCCCATTGGCCGGACGACGATGGGGCTATTTTGTGGGGAGGAACAGGCCTTAGGATGATGATAATGATGAAAACACCTTATTTGAAGTTATTTCGAAGGTTGAAGATTTTTTTTTTTGGGGTTTTTTATGGTTTGTTTCGAGGATGAAGATCTTTTTTTTCTATTTTGTTTATTTTTTCTGGGTTTTGGGTGGTTTTTCTTCCCCCTTTGGTGTTGGGGGGAGAAATCCAGGAACAAGGGAGGGAGGGAGGAAGAGAAGATTGGACAAAGAAATGCCAAGAATAGTAAACGTAGTGGGATTGAATCATAAAAAGGGTTCAATGGAGATTCATTGGGGGGGAAAAGAAAGAGGAGTTTAAGGTTCGTTTCATGGTTGGCTGTCTTTTCTGTTTTCATTTATGGGACTACCATGCATACAGACGACTAATCCTAGGCTATTTGGGAATGTGAACCGTTTCGATTTAATTAAGAAGCAATGAAAACGGATTATCGTTTTGAAAATGGAGATAGAAACAATTCGTAGGGTGTTTTATGTTTTTAGGTTGTCTAGAAGTAATTTAGGATTCTGAATGGATCGTATTTATTGATAATTGAATTCACGGATTCGAGTGGCATCTAAAATTTGGATCGTTCTGAAAATTTTGTACAATTTTGGTGCTATATTATCATTTAAAAAAAGGTACTAAAATATAATTTTGAAGCATATCATATCATTCTTGTATGAGTGTATCTTAGTGCAACATTCAACATTGTTCCTTATTTAGACACAATTGCAGAACAGATGAAATTCTTAACATCAACACACTTCAATGAGAGGTAATAAGCCATGAAATAAATTTATTCCATGCTATACATGAAAAAGAGGAATTGTTATATAATCTGTAACATCCAATGGAGTTCCACTAGTATATATTTCATTTGTGGATCTCCAAAACACTGCAAGTCTACAACATTACTACAATCCCCATAGTAATTTTATATCCCAATTTGTGTCTAATTTGTAACAAACAGACCAAACGTCAAAAAGCAAACTGTGTTCTCTGCAGAATTCACTCAACTTTCCAGCCAGCAAATCAAGACAGGATGAAGGAAGCATCCTTGCTCTTGGAAGGCAGAGAGCAGTTTCACTGCACCTTTATTCTGCTATCTGCAATAAAATTGAGCTCCACTGGGGTGGTCTATCTATTTCATGTTCCTTGAGAATTGAGTTCCGAGTTCCTTCTGTAGCCATTCCCTGGAATTGGTTTTTGACGCCAGCACGACATCATCGAGAAACCTCCTCTGCGGAAATTCTTCAGGCACAAGGCTCCGGTATGTCTCAAATTGCTCCGCAGCTTCACTTTTCCTCTCCAGCAGGCTGTATATGATTCCCTGCTTCCCGGTTGATATTCAGTAATCAGCAGCAAGTAAATAGTCTAAGTAAAACTAGATGGTGACCAACTATTTGGGACATGTCCTGAACATATAGCAAAAGGGCAGAGCAAGGTATAACTGTCTGCTAGTCATGCTGCATTGTTACTGAGACATGCAACCAGGTACAAGATAACAAGCACAACCACAGAGGAATAAATCAGGACAAGAACTCATATGCTTGCAGTAAAACACGCGATTATAAGCAACAAGATAGAAAAGGCTTGCCTGGCAAAGATAAGGCCGGAAATCTCGAGGATTCTCATTGATCAGGTCTTGAAATTTAGTCAAACCCTCTTCCAGATTTCCCTGCGACAATACAAGCATTTGGGCATTCAGAATCACAGTTTTAAGCACTTCAAGGTATACTTCAGTTGAAATGCTTCTCAATTAGACGTTCTGCCCCTCTGTACAGTAGAAAGTGAAGAGAGTGAATAAGAGGGGCCGGCGGGAATCAGGTAAGTCGAAATAAAAATAATTATGAGTTAGTGAAGGACTGCTGTTAGGATTCACCAGTACAACATGCATCTGGGCAATCAAAATTCTAATGTTCCTCTCCTCGGTCACTCTTTTCTCCTGACGGGCAACCTCTAGAGCCTTATTCAACATGTCAAAGATGGCCAGACCTTCATGGTTTTTATGCATCACCATCGCCAGACCCTGTTCACATTGGATCCATCATCAGTACTTTCAATCATAAGCAGCACAAATGTGGCCCATAACCAAGATATTGTATCAGCATAATAAGTTAATAACTCGACTAAGTGAGATTTCTATCCTAAATTAACTGAAGAGAAAGATAAAGGAACAAGAAAAGAGACTTCTATCTCAATACAATTCTGTGAAAGGTGTTGCATAGCCTTTTTATAATATTAACAGGTAAATACACATCTGTAATATTGATATCTATTGCTGAGACTTACAACAAGCTAGCAAATTCTAAAGGCCTTACGAAAGATGACAAATTACATTCAACAAGCACACCGCAAACTGCATCACCAACCATCAGCAAATAGCAAATAATTGGTTCAACAATGAAACAATCTTTAGCTAACGAATATACAGACACGAGAAGACATCTCATTCTCCAGAACCTACATAGCAAAACAAAACCTGTCTGTATCAAACAATAGAGCATTCAAATCAGTAAAGAATATCACTTAGCTAGTGAAACTGAATCTTTATCAGTCATTATTCAGACTATTCTCAGAAACGTATATAATGGTGAATTTTTGCAAAGATAAATACTTCTTTTGGTGAAAACATCAGATTCTACTGGCAAAATGGATAAACAGAAACCCTTGAGAGAACTGAAACACGATTGGCAAAACACCGATTTAAACAATTGATCATGCAAAACTTGCATAACCACAATCCATATCTGAAACACGGTTGTATGCTAAGCAATATGGTTCTTCTCAACTGAAATACTCACCTGTGGAACTCAAGGTTTCTCCCTCAAATCCCTTGGTCATAGCAACTTTTCTAATTGTTACTGCTCCTATAGCAATGACTGTTTAAATAGCAGACAGTTACTAACCAGTGGAAGCTAAAGTAAACAAGCAAAAACATTACACCCAACCCAACAAAGCTCTGCAAAGTACCACCTACCTGATGGCACTATGAAACTAAGTTTAGGTGAACAAAGTAATGTGGCACTATGCAATCATATGGATGCAGGAATTGGACACCACATATAGGGCAGCACATGACATGTATGCCTGCTGCTCTTTTCTGCACAATTTCAGCTCTAGTAGGATCCAGCAGAACACAGACTTCACCCAAAAGTTCGAGGAAAGAGTAAACAAGAAACTACATAGTCAAGAATCATACGTGCAAAGCTCTAAGCAAAAGAGGTCTCTCCTCAAGGATTTCCTTAAACAACCTCTTAGCCTTGCTCAATTGCCCCATCATTTCAAAACAAAGTGCCTCCAAGAGCCTCCACTCCACCTCATCCGGCTCAATATCGATCAATCTCTTAACATATTGCGCAGCCTCCTTATTCTTGCCTCTTCTCATCTTCCCATACACAATCGCCTTTAAGGCGGCCACATTCCTCGGCTCATTCTCCACAAGCTTCTCGTGCATCTCCACGCCCTCATTCACCTCTATTTGGGTACCGTTCACCTCCTCTTCTGTAACGTCATCGGAATCAGCCACTTCAGCAGGTAGAGCTAAACTAATTCGTGGAGAAGAAACCCCCAAAGAACCCACGAAAACAAATGCACCAACGAGGAAAACTAGACATTTCATAGGCAAGGATGCTGTCGACAATCGCTTCGTTTCTGGGAAACTTGAAGCTGGTACGCCAGAAATCAAGGAAAGCTTGATTATTGATGAATTTCGCGAGGTACCGTAGGAGTTGCGATGTGGGTTTATGCTCACCGCCGGCGACGTCAGTGGAGTGCAGAAGCTCGGGTTGAAGGATATCAAACTGGGGATCTGCAATTGAGGGTGGCACCTACACCAGAGTGGACTGATTGAACTCATTTCTGAACTGGAATCCAATATCCAAGTTCCTAACAAGAAACTTCCGGCAGTATGCTTTGGCCTGGTTGCGGAGCCGGCAAGCCGCCACAAGCCCACAACCTACTAATTCGTGTTTTGCTATTTTGGCTCGCTATTGAAAAAAGCTATGCAAAGTGTATAATTCTCAATCAGTCACTATGGATTTTCAATGTATCATTTGTTATGTATTTTAATTTTAAAATTTTATAAATATATCTTATGGTCTACATAACAATATTCTTTAGACAAATATTCTTTTTGACATGTTTTAAGGAAAAAATTCGTTGAATATTACGAATGTGATAAGACAATATTATCAAACGTTTAACTCATTCTTACTAGTAGGAAAACACATCTTATTACAATGGAAATATATAATACAAAAGCATGTAATTTTCTTATGATAATATATCAAAATGAATCTTATTATGTCAACAAAATTATTATATTTTATAAATATATTAAAACCTGCTAAGAGACGGGTATCCCTAGTGACCTACATTAATCGTGACAAAAGAAGACAAGTGCCTCAACTCTTCACACTCTAAGGACGTAATATGAAAGTCATATATAAGTATTTCTCAATAATTTGAGTTATTCAAATAAATGTTATTAAATAAAATTTAAAATTTGATGATTAGATGAATGTATCATATATACACATTCAAAATCAAATCTGTACGTATAAAGTACAACCCATATTTTACATACCATCTCTTCTACACGAAGATATCCGACTAAAAACATTCAACTTTTATCTTTATTTCATAACTTTTGCTTCAAGAAGTTGTTTGTGGTCTGGATAATTTGTGCTTTGTGGTGGAATGAGATTTAAGATACACACATTATTCTAAATCTCTTCAATCTCAATGATATGTCTCTCAACAATTCGAGAACGGGATACGTAGAACAGGAACGAGGTGCAGATTGTGCTTCTTCCTAGCCGTAATACCAAATATCTCGCTCATGTCCATCTCCTCATGCGTCATTCCTTCCGGAAACTTCCAGTCAAAGTGATACAACATTTGAGCCAGCGCCAGATCTATGTTCGCCGTAGCAAACGATATTCCAGGACAGATCCTCCTCCCTCCTCCAAACGGGATCAATTCAAAATTCGTACCCCTAAAATCCACGACCGAACCCTCGAACCGCTCCGGCCTGAAGCAATCCGGGTCGACCCATGTTTCCGGATCTCTCCCTATCGCATATGCATTGATAAGGATCTTAGCCTTCGCTGGTATGTGATATCCTCCAACCTCACAAGCCTCGACAGACTCTCGAGGAAGCAAAGGACCGGGAGGGTGCATCCTCAACGTTTCTTTGACGACCGACCTCAGGTAACTCAGGTCGTGGTTGTGGAGGTCACTCTCTTCGATTCTCGTCTTCCTATTGAATGCTCGTCGTAGCTCTGCCTGCGCCTTCTCCATCACTCTTGGGTTCTTCATCAGTTCGGCCATCGCCCACTCCATCGTCGTCGCCGATGTCTCGCTGCCTGCTGAAAATATATCCTGATCGATTGTACATACAGATACATAATTAGTAAAATATAGCATGTGTAACTTACGTATAAAATATATCTACGAGTATTTTATTTCTCTTTAAATTAATGACACGTATAATATTACCTCAAAATTCACAAAATATATGAAATTAAGTATTTTAAAAATAATTAAATGTATAAATAATATTAAATTTATCAATTTAATTCATTCAATATAAATATTAAATATTTTATATGAGTTTTATACGTGTTTAGAACGAGAGTCATAGCTTGAATCGATACCATGGTGACGGCTTTGAGGTGATTGGTGGTAAGCTTCAACTCGGTCTCATCAGAACCCTGCAGCTTGATCAAAACATCCAACAGATCTTCCTCACGACCACCGGGTCCCGACCCATCGACGACCCGACCCGGCCCAAGATGCTGTTTCACTATATCCTCCAGGATCCGGTCGATCCCTACGTGGATCCGCTCCAGCGCGGCCTGGATCCCGGTGACGTGGCGGAGGAACCGAAACGAAGGAAACAAATCAGGCAAATTAAACCCGCCGCCGACCTGGATCACCTGGTGGAGCAGCGACAGGAACTCGCCGCCGTCCCGACACCTCATCCCGAACGCCGACCGCGACGTCACGTTGTTGGTCGCCAGGAATATCCTCTCGCTCAGGTTTATCGCCACGGCGCCGTTTTCGATTGTGTTGGAAACGGCGTCGTTTGATATCGAAACGACGAGGTCCCAGACTTCCTGCTCGCGGATGGGGCGGAAGGAGGCCACGCGCTTGGCGGAGAGTAGCTCGGAGACGCAGATCTTGCGGAGCTGGCGCCAGTAGTCGCCGTAAGGGGCGAAGACGAGGCTGGAGTGGTCGTACGACATGATCTCGACGGCGAGGACCTCCGGCCGTTGTGGGAAGCTGAGCTCTTTTGTGCGGAGGACTTCCTTGGCGGCGTCAGGGGAGGAGATGACGACGGCGAGGCACTGGCCCAGCTGGAGGCGCATGATGGGCCCGTATTTTTGGGCCAGGTTGGTGATGGACCGGTGGGGGAGTGTTGGGCCCGCGAGCTGGTGGAGGTTGCCGATTAGGGGGAGCGTCGGTGGGCCCGGGGGCAGGTTTTGGCGGCGGGAGCGGCGGAGGAGGAAGGGAATGGAGACGACGAGGAGAAAGGCGGGGAGGAGGAGGGTGGAGAGCGACTCCGGGAAGCCGGCGGGAAAGGAGAGCCAATTTGCCATTAGAGTTGGTGTGTGTTGTTTGTTTGTTTGTTTTTTGGTGGTGGTGTTGTTGTTGAATGTTGAGCCGAGCTACATAAATGGAGTCCATTTCTAAGTAAAAGGTGTAGCAAGTGTGATTTTTGGCGGGTAAGTAACGTGAACATTACGCTTTTCTTTCCTCTATTAAAGGGTTACTTATTTGTATCATAAATAATTTGTATCATAAAATTAAGGTACATATTCAGTTTGTAACATAAATAATATAAATACAAATTGAATTTGTACCATAACAATTCAAATGTAGAAATTCAATTTAAATTTGTACATACAATATTTTTTTTAAAGTTAAAATATCGGTACATATAAGTATAGTAGTCGAGCTTAACATGAATGAGGTGCAAACCAAACTAGGGGAAGTGAATTTCTAGTCAGTTGTGTAATATAACTCTCTATTTTTCAATCCACCTATAATTGCAATAATATATCATAGAAATTAGAAATATAAGCTTCAATTGCATCAATTCCATCGTATATATATTTACTAGACAGACTGACTCAATAAAGTACAAACAATTAACGTGGGTTTTGACTGCCCCAATAGATAAATTAATTAAACGATATACATACCTAATTAATTAACCCCCACAGATTTTATTACCGATAATTACTAATAAGTATAATATTTCACTTATAGTAATAATAATAATAATATATTGTCTCACCAAAAAAAAAAAAAAAAACTTGGGCTGGGTAGCTAGTAGGTTAGGGAGGAGGAAGGCAAAGGAACTCGCTTCCTGTACTCGGCAAGAGCCCACAGTGGATAAATGTTCCTGTAAGCTGCATAGTGTAACATACAGTTCTTCATGAACACTCCTGTGATCTCCTGCATCAATATTAACGTTCCAAATTGTTAATTATTTTTATAAACTTCAAATGTCCAGAAAGCGTTGAAGAACAAAATTATGGGTTAGTTAGTTTAATTACCTGTTGTGGGAAATCCCCATCTTCCATCTGAGAATTTATCAACAACTTGGCTGCACGATGCAATGGTGTAGCATCCCTATCCATCTGTTTTTTTTTTTATCAAAAGTTCGTATCACATCGTTAGTCACGAATTCACGAAAAATTAAACGGAATTTCCAGAGCAAATAAATTGATAATGACATACTCTTTTTCAAAAAGTTGCAATAACTATTCCACGAAAGTAAGATCAAATATTGCCAAAAATCAACCAGCATCATAAATAAAGATATAGGCATTGTCAACATGCATTAAAGAAGAAAGAAAGAAGTAAAAAACTCTCTAGTCTCTTCTCTCTTATTTCGGTTAAATATTTACCATCAAACAAGAAGTGATTGATGGCACTACGTGATTAGGTAATTGAATGAAGGCAGGGGAAGAAAAGAATTGTCAGTAGATGAGCATATTAAATTGACGAAATTATGTGGAAGAACGATATAGATTTCGTCTAATTCCCGTGGGAGTTCCTCTAACTCGTACATGCCGAAGGGATAAACGACGATATAGATTTCGTAACGAACAGTAAACCGCTCAGTTTTACGTTCTAACCTGGCCAGCATAAATGAGACCCATTGTAGCCCAACCCGTATGCACCAAATTCGATCGATTCCCTTCAAGAGGAACATATCGCTGCATCACCAAAATCAAAAACACCAATTAATTACATGAAAACCCAAATAAAAAAAATAAAGGAGGAATTAATCAAGGAGATTAGTTTTTTTTCAAGATTAATTACTTTTTCAGGACAGGAGAGGTAACTCTCTCCCCACCCTCCATCCTCTCTCTGTATCCTGAGCAGGAACTCAACCCCACGCCGCACGGCGGCGGAGTTGCCGTACGTCTTGCCGGCGGCCGCCAGCCCTCCCAGCGCAAACCACGTCCCGTAAGTGAAGCAGACTCCCCAGTTGCCGTACCACCCGCCCTCCGACGTCTGAATGCTTTCCAGGTACCTCACCGCACCTCTGATGAAGCACTCGATCTCGTCCTCTCTGTGGCCGGGGTACAGCTTCTTGAACAGAACCAGAGCCTGGATCGCCGACGACGTGCACTCCACGTACTCGTGCTCGATCACGATGTCCTCGAAGAACTCCGTCGGATTCAGAACCTGCCATGCCATCATCACTGTTTAGTTTAGTTAATTCGAAATACTCGAATTTCCTACGACATCGAGCTTTCGACGTGCTGTAACAGGTTTTTACATGTCACATATGTTCGTTACGTAATATTTTTACGTAATCCACATTAATTTTACATAATAGTTGTAGAATAGTTTGCATCAATTTCGAGAAAAAGCCGAGCATAGAGATAGTAACCTCTAACCAATCTTGCGCTCCCGCAGGTTCCCAAGCGGCCAATCCTCCGTTTTTACTCTACAACAACAAATCCACTCGGCGTGTGTTAAAGAGGTTAATCCGAACTATCGAACTTAAAGTGTGGTGGATGTTTACCGAATTACGGTGATCGTACCTGAAGGGAAAGGAGGACGTTGACCGAGTCAAACAAGCGGGCCGGTTCCATGGCCTCCCCAACTTTTTCAGGTGGCATCAAAGAGAGGAGGAGGCAACATTTCAAGCCTTCAGCGGTACAATCAGAGACCTGCCAGCCATGATCCTGATCGGAGAAAGTCCAGGAGCCTTTGGAGATGTGCCTGTACATGGCCCTGAAGTCGCCCTGAGGATTTTCCTTGACTTGGGATTTCTTGATGAAATCGTGCCCTCTCTTCAGCACGTCCCCAATTTCCTCGTTCATGTTGCAGGCCAGCAGTGCCTGCATCGCGAACCCTGTGTCCCACTGCTGGCTCCCGAAACTCTGCCGTATGAGAAACAGAGCATGGTTAAGGTTTAATTGAAACAGGGGATTTGAAAATTCGATCATTTTGCAATGGTGTAACTTAGATAGATACCTGCATTTTCATTCCATCTTCTGCTACCCATAAGTAATCAGGAATCCTGGCGAGGTGCTTCTTGAAGTAATCGCCATCTGGGTCCTCGACCCAGCAAGCCAGCATACATAGGATCTGATCAATTGCAAATGTTCCAACATACGAAACTTAAATAAATGCTTTGAAGTAAGGTACATAGCTAGGTGTTACAGGTTGCATCACGTCAAATACAATAGACATTTACGTAATGATTAAATGACCAGTGAGGCAGTGACCTATGCTTATCTTACGTAACAGTGTAAAGTGTCATTATGGAAGTGTTACATGATAGACGATGCTTTTACATGACGAATAGTAATCTCGTGCTACGTTATAAAGTGCTAAGTCATTACGAAAGCGCCTTATGTAATGCTTATGATTTAACTGGTACGTAAGAAATAACTATCATCCCGTAACTTTTACGTAACAGATTGTAAAGTGTCATTACAAGAAACCTTACACAATGGATGATCCTATTACGTAATGAAAATTAACCTCGCGTTACGTGAAGTCATTATGAAAGCCTTACGTAATGCTTATGATATTAACTGTTTCCTATGAAACAAAACAACCTTTACATAATGAATGTGTTGTTTTTAACGTAACATATGTTGTATAAGCAATAAGTGATCATTATTGACTCGTGCGGTTACCACAGTTGTATATGTGATCAATTTCACGATAATCTAGATTCTTGCAAGTTAATTTAACTTGAAGTTGTACCAAGAGACTCAAAGACTATCATTAAGCTTAATTATATGGTAGCTTGGTAGTAATTCATTACCTTCTCAACACAGCCAATGGTGATGTAGCGACTGGCCTCATCTTCATAGTGAATGTGCTTCATCGTGACCTGAAGCGCCCAATCTCTCACCAGCTTGTTGAATGGCCACCGCGTCAGAAGTGGCTCCATGGACAAGTAAAGCGTATCCCAGATCAGATCCTGGATCAAAGGATGAGGGTAGTAGAGATCCTCCTGAGCACACAGATGTCGAGTCTTCTTCCAGTTGATCCTGTCATAAGCCTCGAGGTGAAGCTCCTCCCTCAGCTCCTCGATCAGCGGGGTGATCGGCCCCACGAATCTCTTCCCGTAGAGATACGACATCGGCATGTACACCATGCGACAGTAGCACCACATCTTGGCAGGGTGCATCGGCAGGAACGATGGCAGGAGCCAGAACTCGGGTGGCATCGGGTTGCTCCCGGACCAATCGTACACTCCGAGAATCTGCGCAAGGGATAATTTCGCGGAATAATTAGTTGTTTGTTATGGACTTATGGTCACAGGATGAGTTGCACGGCGACAACTCTGTAACAGGAAATTAACTGGGAAGTACGTACGGAGAGCCAGGTCTTGCCCCAGGAGGGTATGTAAGTGACGCCGCCGTGGTCGAGGATCCAGTTGCGAGCTCTGGCGCAGGCGTTGTCGAGGCCGCCGTCGGGGCCCTCGCCGAGGATGCGCATGCAGATGTAGCTCAGAGCTGTGCAGAACATGGTGCTGTGGCCTTCTATGTGCAAGCCCCACCCGCCGTCTTCATTCTGCAGAAACACACACACAAACACAGCGCAGAGAAAGCGGCATTTCTAGCTTGAGTTATGGCAAGAATGTTTGGAAAAATGATGATGCTGTATATAGGTTTATACAATTGGAAAATGGGATTCACACCTTTCAGAAAATTAACTAGCGCTTCACGAAGCGTAACCAAATTATTAGGTACGAATTTTGCGCTAATACGTTTGGGACACCATCCCCAATTCGAAAGGTGGCACCTAGACCTAGTAATGTGCTCGGAAGGGAGGATAATTGAAATCTCATTTTTGGTACACAATTTCAATATGATTTGTTCGGGTTGCAGCATCAAAGAATAGTCAACCCTTATCTGGCTGAGCTTCTCGCTATCAGGGATGCCATTTCCTTTGTAGCCTCAAGTTCCTTGACCCACGTGATAGTCGAAGGTGATTCCGAAGTGGTTGTCAACCAAATCCGTCATGGCGTTTCAGAAGATTCGATTGGTGGTCCGGTGTTACGAGAGTGTCTTCAGATCCTTAACTCTTTGTCTATTTGTATAGAGTTTAGGGT